TTGATGGTCTGTTACACCACCTACACCTACATAGTGCTGGCAAACATCACGAACAGTGACCGGAAAGCAATCAGAAGAGTTTAAGAGACCGTAAGGTGCAAATAAATGGATTTAATTTCAAATATTTTAAAGAAACTCTCAAATTCCTTGATTGAAAGGCCCGTGACTTTCTGATAGACCTTTACTTCTGAGCCATCTTTTCGGGAAAGTGAACTCTTTTACCTTTGAACACCTCTTTATTAAATTATAAAACGGGTGTATTCGGCTACAAAGACTCGACATTTCAGATTCAAATTCCCCACCCCACCCAGGCAAGGTTCAAATCGTTCACTCCCGGGAACACACCAGATAAGGATCACAACAGGTAAGCGAAACAGGGTCGAGTGACAGGCTGTGTTCTAAAGGTTAATTAATATTCAAGAAATTCACAGAAAGTGAAGCTTTCTATGAAATCAGGGGAATAAAAGGGGTAAGTTTCTAAACAAACTGTGATGCTGCGTCAGTGGGAGAGTATAACAGGATAAATTAGTATTATCAACTGAGTTGATAGTGTAAATAGTTAAAAAGCTGACTTTTCGAGCGTTAGCCCCTCGTCTATCGCTCTAGAGAAGGGCTAACACTCGAAACGTCAGCTTTTTAACTCTTTCCGGTAGCTAATTTACGTTTTCAACTCGGTTGATAGTACTAAATTACCCTCCTTTATGAAATCGTTGACTTTTTCGTGCTTTTGTGCTCTAAATCTATTTACTTTCTCAAAAAGGTAGAAATTTCTCTAGGTTTCTAGAACTGCAAAAAGTTGCCCCAAACGCCAAAAGTTGCTCAAAAGTTGCTGAGTATAATCGGGACAGGCCAACAGATAACTTGAATTTCCGCTAACTCGAAACATCTGCCATTTGCGGACCCTTGGGGCTGTATTTCTTTAGGAAACTAGGAGAGACTCGTTAAAGGGCACCCAGTTCTCCGCGGTTTGGGAATGTGTGTAGAACAAACTTGAACATGCGAAAAATGAAAATCCTCTGGAAAATGAAAATAGTTTGAAATATTTGTGACCCGATTGAAAATTTGAAAGCAATGTTGATGCTGCAGAATAAAGATAAATTAGTTGTGAAGCGCTAGTTCTGCAATCCGCCCACGAGTGGTGATCTTTGGCTTTGACTCGGTTGCATATCAAACTCACGGGGTACAAATAGTCTTAACATGAATAAAGTGACCACGCCCACTTCAACGCCCCACTCAAATCGAGTGTAATTTTCGAACATTTTACCATCGCGCAGATTCTCTACGGAAAAAGCACCCAATGTACCTCTGAAATATTAAACTACAATATTGTGGCTTTCTATTTCGCTAATTTTCTAACTTGAAGGTAAAGCTTTTCCCTCGTCATTTTAACCTTTTCTCCGAGCGGTTGCGTGAAATTAACAAGGCGTTTTTGTTCAAAACACAACCGAGCGAAGCGTCTCGGATGATATCCCTTTTACGCAAGCGCAATTTAAAAATGTACCGCCAGAATCGAAAAAAGGAACAAATTTCCTTTGTTTCGATATGTAAAGTGTCGAACAAAAAGCAGATTTACCCTCGTCAAATGGCGTTTCAAAACAGCTGTATCTTCCTCCTTTTGATTTTTTCCTGTTTCGTGTGCGTGAAAGCAGTAGGAGAGCGATCGGGAAACTCAAAAAGCACTTCGGGAATCAATCTGCCATTGTTTCCTTACGAGATAAACAAGTAAGATTTGTGAAGTTCATCGCAGTATGAAGTCTAAATAGATGCCTTTTTTAAGCTTGTTCGCTGGATTTTTCGTAAACTTCCCTGATTAATTTTTCGTTTCAGCTTACTAATCTATACTATTTCAAAGCAAAGAAGTTTTTAGAGAAAACCATGAGTCGGTCCTTTCAATAATTGTAAACAAAGTGTTTGAGCAATCAGGTATACGAGGTATAATAATCAATAGCCATATATCAGAAGTCTTCAGAAAGAAAGTATTATGTTTTCAGAAAGCTGTCAAGAAAGCTAGTAATCGTGGCAATTAAATGCACTTCTTACCAATTTGGAAACGGGCCCTCGGAATCGATTTAAGGTGTATTACAACGAGGTTGATGTACATCAGCTTAAAGATGAGAACAGCCAGTTGAGGGGAGAAAAAAATAAAATTAGAAGAATCGTTGGTACAGGAGAAGGCAAAGCGATTGCGAGTGGATAAAAAATCTCGAGAAGCTCTCGAGAAAGCTGAGAAGAAAGGGGCCTTCTACAATAACAAATTTATTCAGTTGGCCAAAAAGTGATTACAAATGGGAAAAAAAAGTAGAGGCCCAGCTAAGTAGAAGTTTAATGACTATTCCAAGCACCATCAAAAGAGCAGTAGTTGCCAAACTACACTCTCCTTTCTTGGGCTGTACAATTTTGTTGCAACCAAAATTGAAGTCCTCAACACTGAGACTAATCAATATGAAACTTTCAATCTTGTTGGAGAAGGAGAGCTGCCATTTACAGAGTCTGACCCAAAGGCCCTTAATAATGATGACATTGATAACATAAATATGTGGCTCTACCTCAAAGATAAATTCATTATTTCAAATGAGGCCTGGCATGAAATTGCCATTAAGGCTAATGATCTCCCCAATATATATTCCATCAAGAAGCAAATTAATGAGCTAAAGAGTAGATGGAACTTGAAACCAACACCAGGAGATGCTGAAGGTGTTCAGTTAGGATTTGCAGAAAGCTTGCAAGAGCACATTGTTAAGCTTCAGAAGAATGGAGAAATCAATGATGGAGAAACTATTAAGATCAAGCTTTGTGGTGATGCTACAAATATTGGGAAGGGGCTTACAGTTGTCAACTTCACTTTTACTATTCTCCATGAAAAGGATTTGGCAATGGGTGTCGGGGGAAATTATATACTTGCTGTTATAAAAACTACAGAGACATATGATAATCTGAGAGACAGCCTAGCAGACCTTCAAATGGAAATGTCAAACTTAAAGGAGATAAGTGCAAATAATTGCACCTATAAAATTGAATACTTTTTAGATGGAGATTTGAAATTTTTAGCACTGGTATGTGGTTTAGGCAAGGCAAATGAGGATTATGCTTGTGTGTGGTGCAAGTGTCCCAGGGAGCAACGGTGGGACACAAGCAAAACATGGTCAATTAATAACCCCAAATTTGGTGCTAAAACTGTCACCAAAATAGCAAGGTTTTCCACTGGAAAGAAATTAAACTGTAAGGCACAACCATTATTTGATTTTATATCTATGGACCATGTCATCATAGATACATTACATTTTTTTCTGAGGATTTCAGATGTTTTGATTGACTTGTTCATAAGAGAGCTGAGAAGAAGTGATGCTATTGAGAAAAAAAAACCTCTGATGGATTCCCAAGGGATAAATATAAACACATGGCATGTTATGAAGAATTTATCAAAAGTATGGGAATCACTTTTAATTTTAGAATCAACAAAGAGAGTAAAAAGCTGGAATATAGAGATCTTACTGAACCAGAAAAGTTGAAACTCTTCCAGAATATAAACATTCCGACCTATGCTTGTCCCTCATTGCAGTCAAAACAAAGACATACAAGTGATCTGGGCTAAATTTATGGACATAATTGGTGATTTGAAGCTAGATTTTACATCTGAAGAGGGTATTCTTGAACTGCAAAGAAATATCAAATCATGGTTTGAGCACTTTCTCAAAGTTTACCAAGCAAAAGATGTCACTCCCTACATGCATGCACTATGTTATCATGTTCCTGAGTTCCTGTAACTTTATCACTATGTTATCATGTTCCTGAGTTCCTGTAACTTTATCAGAACATAGCATATTACACACAGCAAGGCTTGGAAAAATACAATAGTAGAGCTTCTAAAGATTTCTTCAGATCCACAAATCACAAAGGGGTTGATGCCCTCAAACAACTGTTTCTGAAGAAAAACAGGATTCAGTTCCTGGAGGCAGTAGGTTATGAAAGGGTTAAGAACACCTACAATGATGAGCTTGTATTCAATGATTGGACTTCTTTGTCCCAGCCAATACTTAAAAGTCCCTGGAATTACATAGGCAAAATCTCCAGCTACGTTTAAAATTCTTTCATCCCATTTCAGCCCCAGATATGAATCAGGCACCCTATTTGACTTCAACTGGTAAACCATCTTCCCTCTTTGAAGAACGCCGGGCAAAACACTCCCAAGACCTTCCATGAAGATATCTTGGTCAACATTAAGGTCTATGTTTATATCAGGGTCGTCTCGCCGTCCAGACCAAAGCTTTTTCTTTATTTCACGAACAAATTGGCCATGGAACGATTCTTTTCTATCCTCTAGAGAGTTTTCCGAGGGAATGAACAGCTTTTCGCTGCGAAGAAACGGAAAATATCCAGATCCTCTATCGGCCCTGAAGGGTGTCCATTCATTGAAGCATGTGCTATAGCCAACGTAATGAATTTTCAACCTCTCTTGTTGATTTTGTCAACCTCCCTGATCTCAGTATCATACAGTTTTGTATCTTTCTATCGTGGATTCGCCTTTCTAACGGGGGTGTATGTTAAGTATTTATTGTAAAATCGCTTTGCTTCTTTATTTCCCTCTTTGACCTGTCCGCCATTTTGAAAATTCGCAACGGAGAGCATGTGCATTACTTAGGGTTAGTGGTCGCGTACACCTGGAACCGAGAAAAACAAATGTTCGTCGCGCTGGGGAAAGAGTTTGATATGATACAATTTTTTACTTATTGCAATTTTCAAAATGAAATTTCTTTTAGTAATTAGTTAACGTATCGTTGGAGAATGATCTAAAAGTATTCGGTAGAAATCGAGACCGGGTACGGACCGCATAAAACCATTATCACAAGGACCGAGGAGAGGCACGTGCGAAGTGCAGACCAAACCTTCCCAACGTAATGTTGTCCTAGTCTTCACAAGAACGAGGCAAGGGAAATCCCCTGAACTATGGCGTCCTTCCTCCCTTTTCGTCGCGATCAATGCATGGTTCGTTTATAGTGAAGATGATATCGTCTTTCCTGTATGTTCGGCACGAAATTGAAGAACCTAGTATTAAGTATATTCTTCTACGTGATCGTGTCGGACTCTCGGTTGAAAAACACATGTTGGCACTCGGCCTTACGACGAAGTCTACACCAATTCAAGTTTTGCGTGGCGAGGTATTAGAAGGTGTTCCTGAGGCTGAACAACCTACAGACTCAACTAGAGCAGTTGTTGTTGGAATTGAACGTAAATCATTACGTCTTGGATGTCCTACGGAGGATATTGCTCGACTATCTGAGGAAGAAACCAACTTGCTTTTAGCAATTACTTCATCTGAAGGAAGATACCTAGCGTATATAGATAGGAAACATCTGGCATTTGGCCGACAATTGTCAATCGGAAGTGCTGTTTTGGTTGAAGTGAAAGGAAATTTCCAGGTTTTGCCTGGTACTATTTGGTATAAAGGTGTATTACCGCCCAATCTAGGAACTTGGTTTGGAGTTGAACTCATAGTAAGTACACGTGCACTTTACATTATGAAAATTTTGTTCAGACAGCAACACAACTTCTCATTGGTATTTCAGTTGACCTGCTCAGACTTACTGAAGTTGATTTCAACTCCTAGAATCTTGCCTTCAATGTCTTCCTTCCTAGAAGACTCTTAGACTGAAGGGAAATAAGTTTTGATGTGCCTGCGTATAGTTTTGAAAATTTACCTCTGTTGATTTACCAGTATGGACAACTTCGTTTGACATGGGCTTCCTTTCCAGGTTTTATAACTTCACAGTGAATAAGGTTATTGATTCCATTGTTAATGCTTTTATAAAGAACCAAAACTACCCCATAGAAAAGTCTTATTGTGTTAAGCTTTGCCAATTAGCATGGAAACTGTCACCCTGCTCTTAAGTGAATTTTTAAAGCTATCTTCCACCTTCTTTCACACTTTCACAGAGCTGGGACTTTCACAAATCTGAAAAATAGTTCTTCTTCTTAACCTTTAATTTGTGACCTTTCAAGGAGATTCTGTTCAACAAAGCCAGGAAAATGATAATAAACATCACCTTACTTGGAAAATTCACAATTTTGTTTACTTTCAACATGCTTCATTAATACAGCAAACTATAAAAACAGTCATCTAGGACAACTTTGTCACTTTCCTGAGGTGACATTTGTGACATGCTTTAGAAAAACTCACAACCACAGGTTTTAGATTTCAAACAGAATTCTGTTTGCTTGCAGATTCTCAGCAATTCAAAGTAGCGATTCAAACTAGCATACCTTCTCAAGCAGCTTAAGTGACTGTTGAAAAAGTTCCAACAGTTGTTTGAACTGTTTTGGGATCTATTCAGTTAAAATCTCCTCTTGTTTTAAAGGAGGGGGGTTACATACAATTGAAAACAATTTGCATCTACTAAAACAACTATCATCCCAGTTTGAACAATAATTTCTCTAAGTTTCAAAATGACAAGTGTTTTTGATTGAAACAAGTGAGTGTTAAATTTTAAGGCAAAGACAATTTTCTCCATCAAACCCAATTATCTTATTATCATTGCACTATGAAGTTTTGGTTATTGATTAGCAGCAAGGAGCAGCTACATGTAGTTGAAAGGAAATTCTTAGATTCATAGTAGTAAGATCTAGTGGAAATAAACTGACTATTATTTAGAATGAGCATCTCAAGAATTCAATAAGCTAATTCTTGCCCACAGCTTGGATTTATAAATTTTTCTACTTCATAACTGTCATGAAGTCACTAGTAAAGTTCACAAACAATATGTAATTGTAAAACTTGCCTTTCAAACAGTTATGTGCAAGGTGTCATTTCTATTTAAGAATATGTTGTGTTTACTGTTAAGATTTTAAAATCCTGCTTTCTTGATGGTATGGTGTACATGTACGTTGTACTCTGGATGCTGAACAGTCAGTATGAGATAAAATTTTCATTGATTACAATGGCACCCATGGGAATGATAATGATGATGATAATGATGAAAGTCATGATGATGGTTAATGATGACAGTAATCTTCAATAATAATGATTATGATCTGTGGTTTAATATATCTAGAAACCTCCAGGGTCAGGAACATGCGATGGAACATTTAGAAACAAGCGATACTTTACCTGTCCGCCAGGCTGTGGGGTTTTTGTTGGACTGGACCAATTGTCACCTGGAGAAGATGAAGATGACTTGAACTCTTCAAAAATTTTAAAAAAAGACAAAATGGAAGTACCCAGTATGAAGTTTATTCTTCTAAGGGATTGTTTCGGACATGTAGTTGAAAAAAACATGTGGACACTCGGCCTTACGACGAAGTCTACACAAATAATTGTTTTACGAGGTGTGTTATCAGAAGCTGTTCCAGAGGCTGAACAGCCTGCAGACTTAACTAAAGTAGCTCTTGTTGGAATTGAATGTAAATCATTACATCTTGAGTGTCCAATGAAAGATATGGCTCGACTATCTGAGGAAGAAACCAGCTTGCTTTTAGCAATTACTTCACTTGAACGAAGATACAAAACGTATATAGATAGGAAACATCTGGCATTTGGCCGACAATTGTCAATCGGAAGTGCTGTTTGGGTTGAAGTGAAAGGAAAGTCAAATGTTTTGCCTGGTGTTGTTTGGTATAAAGGTGTATTACTACCCAATCTGGGAACTTGGTTTGGAGTTGAACTCATTGTAAGTACTCATGCACTAGTTAAGTCGTGTTGCTGGCTGTAACAATTTACATTATGTACATTTTATACAGATAGCAACACAACTAAGGTACCATGTAATACTGAGTTAAGCTTGCTTTTACATCTCCCGAGTATTTCAATGTCCCCAATGTCTATCTTCTTAGGAGACTCTTAGACTGAAGGGTAGATTTAAATGATTCATTTTATAGTATGTAATAGTAAAACTTTCCCTTCAAACGGTCATGTGCAAGATGCCATCTCTATTTAAGAATAATGTCATGCTTTCTGTTAAGATTTTAAAATCCTGCTTAGTATGATGTACATGTATGTTACACACTGGATGCTGAACAGTGTGTATGGGATAACATTTTTATTGATTGCAATGGCACCCATGGTGATGATGATGATGATAATGATGAAATTCATGATGATAGTTGATGATGACAATAATCTTCAATATTAATGATTATGATCTGTGGTTTAACATATCTAGAAACATCCAGGGTCAGGAACATGCGATGGAACATTTAGAAACAAGCGATACTTTGCCTGTGAGCCAGACTGTGGGGTTTTTGTTGGACTGGACAAATTAACACCTAGAGAAAATGAAGATGGCTTGAAATCTTTAAAAATTGCAGAACAAGACGAAAACATTCAGGCTAAACTTAAATCAAGTCTTCAGGATTCAATATCGTCATTTTGGAAGGGAAAACACGAGCAAAGGCCATTTCAAGGAATTCATGGAGTGCTTAAGATTAATGACAGAGTTGTGACAATTATTAAGGATAGTCCAGCCAGGGGAACTGTGCGATATATTGGTGAGGAGGAGGATTCAACCAGAAATTTTCGTACAATTGTAGGATTAGAACTGGTAAGTTCATGAACATGCTTGCTTAACCAAATGTGCTAAGCTTTGTATTAATTTTAATAAAGTGTTATCCAGCCATCAGAGGAGATTAAACTGAACGAATAGTTTCGTTTTCCCGTTACATTCTCGCGCGTGTCTATAGTGGACATTCTCGCGTGGGTCTATAGTTTCTGCAAAGAGGAAATAAAAGAAAGAAAAGAAATAATTGATAGGTGTAGGGTGTAGGTTTCGGATGGGTCGAGTAACAGTGAGTAACTTACTTTTGCACTTTTGCAAAAGAAAAACAGCTTTCACCTTCAAAAGATTCCAATGAAAAATATCGTTCAAAAAATATATGAAATAAACTCAGACATACGGTCTATTGCCGTTTGTATCTGAATAATTGTAAGCAAAAATAAATTGCATTGGTGCCACGCCTCCCCTACTCTCCTCCACAGTCGTTGTTTGGTCTCGTCATGCAACACGCCCTCTTCCACATTTAGTGACGAGACCAAACATTATGGCCGGCTGGAAAGCTAAGACAAGGCTTAGTGCCGTTCCTTCGTGAGAGACAAATCAACATTATTTGGTTACAGCTAGTTGCCTAAAAATATTTTTTCACATAATTTTGTCGTGGGAAGCAAACCAAAACTATATTTTGTCTCCAATAGCCTCAAACCAGAGATATTTTGTGGCCTCCGTTCTTCAAACAAATACAAGTACAATAGACGAAGAGAATTGTATCATATTTCAAAGGTTTTCACGTGGGCATAACAACGCTCCTCATTTGGTTGTTACCTTTCTGTACTTTGCCCAGTGCGTGCGGGTTGTTTACAAAAAATTGAGACGTTACAGGGTGAAGTCTAAGGTAGCGGAAAGCGAATTTGATCGGTAGAAAACGTCTAAGCACGTGAGAAGTGCGTGGAAAATTGACTAACATATTTCATGTGGGGGAGGGTTATGTCATAAAATTTAGGTTGTTTACTGGAAGCCTTTCATTGGAGAAAACTAATTCCATAGAGATAGGTAAACATGTAATTATAGAAAGAAAACAACGTTTAAGCACAAGATGTAATTCGTAGAGAACTTTTAAAAGCGTAGAAACAGTCATTTCTTATCGCAGTCGACGAAGAAAATAAATATAACTTGCTGATCTTTTCAACCTTCGCCAGAAGAGCAAAAAGTAAAAAAGTACGTGAAAAATGTCCTAGTCAATTTTCCAATGTCAAGGTTAGAGTTCTTTGACTTGATTGGCTCATTTGTAAAATCACGCGCGCCGTGCGTGAATATAAAAAGAATACAAAGGGGGAGAGGAAGAGAAAAATTGTTATTTTAAATTTAAAAACAAAGGAGGTGTTCTGTCTTCATCTGCGATAGGAGTCACGGGTATAGGGAACAAAGGACTGAAATATTAAACCGAACACCGTATCTTTGTCTAAAAAGCTTTAATAATATTAAACGAAATGTTGGTACACTTAAGTATAGCGTTGTAAGCCCACAACTACCAAACTCTGATTAGTCAATTCGAGGCAAACAATTAAGGCCATTAACATTTCGTTTCACTTAAAATGAGGTTTTTGGACAAAAATGCTGTAAATTTTATCTTTCACTCCTGTAGGAAGTTTTCCCTACCACGTGGTGGTACCTGTTGGGTGGTCTGCCTGTGGTTAGGTTGTCCAGCATTAAACTGCAGAGGGAAACTGGTAACTGCAACCTTTTTCGTCAGCTCATGTATCAATGATGAGCAGAGTTGACAAAGAAGTAAAAATTTTCATTTTACGTTCCGAAGGCATAATTTAAAAGAAACTGACTAGGACGTAGCTGGTTTTTATTGGAATATAATTCGAGCGTTGCTTCTTTAAAATTAGGTCCGGTTTTCTTTTTTTTTCTTATTGCAGATTTTTTTAAGCGAACCTACTGAAACTAAAAGTGCATATACAAGCTGGGTACTAGAGTTTAAACTGGTTGTAAGAAAAATACCGACACTGTAAACTTCGAATTGGCGAAGTAGTGTTTTAAAAGTTGTTGTGTCTGTCTGTCACATTTTTATTTAGGATGAAAGATTGGGATTTGGTTGTGGTAAAAGACGTGGCTCTCAAAAGTTTGTTTGTGAGAGGGATTTTGCAGCATTTGTACCATTGGAAACTGTCATATCAGAGAAGGACTTTGATGGTTATTTTGGAAAAGCTGCAGGACAAGAAGCTCAGGGAAAGCGGGAACAAATTTATGAAGATGAAATGTATGCAAGATCAATGAGCTGTGGTAATATACCATCAGGTAGACAAATGATTTGATATCTTAGTTGTTTTATAAATTTTTGGTTCACCTAGACAAGCACACCATGCATTATGAAGCAGAAAATCACAATCTGTGAACTGATGTCTCTTTCACTCAATTCCCAGAAAACATTCAGATGTTGAGAAATTGTTCTTCCAATTAAAAAAAAGGGTATCAGATTGAAACTTTTAATTTTTGTTTCTTGGACATTTTAAAACACTGAAGCTTTAGTTGTATGGTGACATGGTGTCCTCGAGTGCTTTTTTTCCTCTGAATTTTTAGATCTTTTGCTAGTAAAATTATTTGTATGGATGGTTTGTGACAGATTGATATGCAACTTTGCTATTACTGGGGTCAGAATGAATACTGGGATTGACCAACCCTCTACCAGGTCCCTCAAAGGGCATGTTGTTTTGCGCGGCCTTGATCTTTGTTGTTGTTGTGTGAGATGCAAAGCCGAAAAAAGTGTTGCAAATTCCTCTAAAGTTGGATGTTTGCATACCTTTTTTCTTTCCGTAGAGATCATTGATCTATGTGGGGACGTGTAAGGTACAAAATTTTAACAAAAACCCGGCTTTTATTTTCAATTCGTGGGTTCGTGTAGACTTCCGTGATAAGTAGTCATACACCATCCGTTTCATTCCATTTTGCGAAACCTTGATTTTTTTAGTTACAGAGTCTCGAAAATATCCAGGTCTTAACGATGAATCGTGCTGGGATTTTAAAGATGAAAACTTTAAAAGACAAGCATGGGAATCTGTTTTCCTCTTTTCTTTTATACGTCCCTTTATTGACTTCAAATGAAAAATGAACCTTTAAAGAAGAAAGGAAAGGAAATGCTCATGTTAATTCAGTCGCCATGTTTAATCTTTAAAAAAGCCTGCGGTTTATTGATTCACACTAGGTCGTTACACTCTGGTGACTATGTTTACAATTGTGGTTGCGATTACGACGATCGCACACTGGTGTGAACAAGCCTTTCTAACTCTGAGAACTAAATTCCTGAATGATGTCATGATAAGATCATGTCTCCATAGACAACCTGCCTTGTCATTACGATGGAAACTTTGGGGAAAACGGGGCAAATTCATGAAAGTGAATTGATTACAAGATCAATGAGCTGTAAAAGATGCAGTTTCTAGACTCTTTCAACCTTTTTGTGACGATATCCCGAAGAAAGGAGCCTGGTAGTATGTAGCAACTTGTAGAAACACCCCGTGTTGTGTATAGGTTCTCCGCATTCAGAGATTTCTTTTTTTTGTCATTTATCTTTCATTCCCTTAAAGGAAAGCAACGACAATCACGAGACACGAGAGGTCAGCCGCCGAGCTTGCAAGAGAAACCGAGAGAAAATAACGAAGAAGAAAAGAGTCCACTCGAACAATTAAGAGAGATGGAGCAGCAGGTGACTCACTTACAAGCACAACTGGAAGAGAAAGAGTCGGAAAAGCAGAAACAAGGTGATAGATTAAAGAGACAGTTGCGGAAGATGGAGCAACAATTGGTAGACGAACGCGAAAGACTGCAAGAGAAGCATGATCAGTTTGTGAACTCTGAAGCACGAGTGAGAAAGATGGAGGAACAGCTGAAAAACGCTCAAGGACAGTTACAGGAGAAGCATGATCAGTTAGTGACCTCAGAGACACAAGTCCGGGAGACAGAGGAACAAGTGACAAACTTACGACGACAGTTACGTGAACATTCAGTTAATTCAGACGCACAAATTAGAGAGGCGACACAGCAATTGACCAATATCCAAGAGCAACTACAGGGAAAGGATGAAGAAATTGCTGGTTTAAAAAAACAGGTGATTGAACTCGAAATGAGTCTCTCGACAGCTCAACAATTAGCGTTGAATGCACGTCAACGGCAGGAGCCACCTGACTGGGTCATTTCACGCGATCAAATTCAGATGACAGAGAAATGCCTTGGAAGGGGAGGCTGGGGAAATGTTGTGGAAGGAAAGTATTGTGGCTGTGCCGTAGCTGTGAAAAAAATCCATGACTTGATTCTTTCCAATCACAACCGCAGTTTGTTTGTGCGAGAAATGAACATTGCCTCAAGATGTCGTCACCCATGTTTGTTGCAGTTCATTGGGGCAACAAATGACGAAGGAAGTCCGTTGTTTGTTACAGAACTCATGGAAACAAGTTTACGAGCACTGTTAAAGCGACCACTTTCCGTAACTGAATTGTTCGTTATTTCCCTGGATGTGGCTCGAGCATTAAACTATCTTCACCAGAAGCAACCATTTCCCATAATTCACCGGGACGTCAGTAGTGCAAATGTGTTGTTGTGGCGACAGGGTGACCAATGGCGAGCCAAGGTTTCAGATTATGGCACAGCTAATTTCATGCGACATACCATGACAGTCGCACCTGGAGCGCCAATTTACAGTGCACCCGAAGTAGTCACTAAAAAACAAACCGTTAAGGTATGTTTGATTTAATATTTGTTTTTTTATCCACAGTGACCCTTTGCCAATGGTGTGTATCCTCAAATTTTATTCACTTAACGCGAGATATCTTGCATTACATTATGTAGCGCCTCTGCAAAAGACGAGAGCTTTGTTCCCAATGCTCCGATTAATTGCAATGTTGCAATTTATTTTTCTGCTCTGTGGGTTAATCTCATTTGCTTTCTCCTCCGTCAGTCTCTCTTTGTAGTCTATCTGAGCCCAGTTATCGTCATTATCATTGTCATCATCACCTCGTCATCGACACCATCGTTATCACCGACATCATTGCCACTATATTGGTTTATCAATAAAGGGCAAAATTACTGAGCGCTGATTGGTTGAGAGAGAGGGCATTTTTTCTTAATCGAGGGCATTTTTAGTAATCAAGAGATGGCCTGATTACCTGTTAATGATTGGCTACTCCGTTGCATAGCAACCGTTCGTTATCTTGAAATTTGTTAAAAATAGACTGCGCGCGTGATTTTCCTTCGTAGAAATTTTGCCCTTTATTGATAAACAAGTAATCCCATGAGACCTCGTACTATTAAGGATTAATTGCACTTGAGTTTTCAAAATTTTCCAAATTGCCCTCGTCGCTTCGCGACTTAGGCAATTTTGGAAAATTTTGAAAACTCTCGTGCAATTAATCCTTAATAGTACTTGGCCTCATGTGATTACCTATACTAATATCATTGAATTTATTATAAGTGTTTTTCGATATTCAGGTTGATGTATACAGTTTTGGTGTTCTTCTTTGTGAGATGTCGATCCAGGAAATGCCAGATCCGGAAAAGCGTGAACAGCAAGTTGCACTTGTTACAAACCGCGTGATTCGAGCTCTCATCCGGAGAAGCTTGCAAACAAAGCCTGAGGAGAGACCGTGTATGGAGGAAATAATCGATGACCTTGAACAGAAAGCGTGAGACAATTTTTGATACTATTGGTTGTGTACATTTAAATATAAAGCGTAAAGGTATTTCTTCTGAAATAATTTTTTCGGTAAGTTAGTAAGTCTTCAGACACGATCAGTATTATTATAATGTTATAGAGTGTCGTCAATGATAAATGCAATTATAAATGAGGATAGCTTTTATCAACAATTTGGTACTGTATCAGAAAAATGTAAGAAAAGATAGCTGAAGAGAAATTTAAAAAGAAGCACTTTTAGTTCAGATTTCTTCAGGCAATGAAACAATACAAAATAGCTATCGTCATGATTTGTTTTGTTAAAGCCTTAAATTGTGAAAATAGTCCATTTGGATGTGCTCTGCGCGCATTGATATTCCGCATGCTTATAATGATACACGCAAGACGTTGATGTGGTCACCAGAGCGCACAGGATAATTGGTCTTCGCACGTTGTGCGAAATGAGGTACATAGGGCAATTTCACATCGGCTGTTTTGAGCTACGAGACGATATGTATAAGGTGAAAAAAGAGAGAGATAATCAGGTTCACCGTGATACGATTTTGTTTTGGTGAACATAGATGAAAGAGATGAAAGAGAAATACTTTATAAAGGGAACAGAACATTTCTCTTTATTGTTTGACGTGTAGACGTGGTAAACATAGATTTATATTGAGTAAAGGGAGTAAGTTCCTAAAAAACTTTGGTGCTGCGTCGGTGGAAGGGTATAAAAGGGTAATTTAGTGCTATCAACTGAGTTGATAACGTAAATTGGCTACCGTGAAGAGTTTACGAGCTGACGTTTCGAGCGTTAGCCCTTCGTCAACCGCTCTGGCAAGGGGCTAACGCTCTAAACGTCAGTTAAACTTTTCACGGTGGCCAAGTTATGTTATCAACTCAGTTGATAATACCAAATTACCCTATAGATTTATATAAGTATGCTTATATAAGTATGTAAAAAGACAAACGAACTCAATCAAAAACTAAAACAAGAACGAAAAAAACTTAACTACACAACCGTTTGGTGGAGCTATAATGGTAGGAGTGCTTCCAGAATAACAGATCGGATAGTTAACTGATTAGCTTATGTTTCTTACTGGAAATCAGGTTTTTGAGCTGCAAATAGGTCCAAAATACGGCTTAAAATTGTTGCCTTTTTTGCAGCGAATGAGCAATTTTCTGCAAAGAAGTACCTCTCTTTTGCATTATGTTACCAGAAAACTGCATATCTCCCAGCCAATCAGATTGAAGAAAGTTTGTCATTTATTTCAGTTATTAACTGAAGCATGAAAGAAGGCAGTGCTTTTCTTTTATTCAAGCCAAAAGAGGGTGTTAGGATAAAATGTTTAAGTAACTCGATTCAAACACAAAAGGTTTGGTAACGACACTGTAGAAACCCATTAACTCGGACTGTGAAGGGAAATGATGAACACTTCAAGAAAAATCTTTGCAAATGTCAATGGGAACGGAAGGCGAATGTGCGTGTTATGCATGAGAACAGGTTACTACCAAACAACTATTTATCGAAGTGGAAGTGGATAGTGGTGAATATTTACCGAGCCGCGATGAGGCGAGGTAAATATCCACCGCTAGCCACTGACATTGAGGGAATAGTTGTTTTTAACATATACTAAAACTGTGAGATAATATAGCCCAAAAAGATGATTTCAACTCGCTTATTCCTGCAGCAATTAAAATAATTTCTAGTGCAATCCTGCGCGAGTTGCTCGGCAGTGAATAGCAAAGGATATTCGAAGTTTGAGCGGCCAATCAGAACGTGCTTTAACACTATCCACTGTTTTAGTATATACTAAATTTTGTTATGAGTGGAATTCGTTCGTGTGAGATGATTAAGCTGAGCGCATGCCTAAAAAATTATCTCGATCACCAAAGTTGTGAAATTTTATGGGACATGATTACCATACGCTATCTTTAGCTTTGTTGCGAGGATAGCTGACCTGTGAGCACAAAAAACTGAAGATCCGCATTTAATGTTGTTAAATATTTATATTGACTAAGGTATTGCGCAGTATCACTGCTAATACGGTATTGCTGTAGTAACAAAAGCAACAAGTTTTGTATCGTGATCCAACCATTGAGTATAACTCAAACTAGGAAAAGGAAAAAAGAGATAGATTTAGACCTACCAAAATTTCAATCTACGTCGTCTCGTATTTTTTCAGCGGTTGCTTGAAATCCGTCGCATTTTCATCAAGTGCCGTAAGCGAGCCAACAGAAACATCGTTGCAGAATACATGGAGATTCCGAGGTTCCGAAACCTACCCGTTATTGATTGAGGGCCAAACTTTGAAAGGCTGTAAAAGTGATACGACTATACCGCCTTGAAAGGTGTCTCTCTTGTGAGTAAAACTATGGAAGGATCGCGATACCTTTCACTAGTGCTTATTAACAATAGTTTGTAGTAAGCAGGGCATGTTATTATAGTCATTTGTTTTAAAGAGTCACTTTTCGTGGCAGAAGTTAATCAAACGTATCTGAAGTAGACTTCATTCCCGATTGCGGAACGAGTCAATAAAGTGATTGATAAGAAACAAGTAGAGGCTCGCATTAAGTCGCAGATAAAATGTAACTAACAATTCTGTTGTTTTATTAATCGAGTACCGTTATCTAGAACTTTTGGATAGAGATTCAGCAAGTAGATAGCGTGATCAGACCTTCGAACAGCTGTGGTCTGATCTCTCTTCCCTGCACCCCTTCCTAGTGGGCGTAGGCTTTCTTAAGGTGAAATCATTGTCTTGGAGAGGTCCTTGGCGATCTTGAATCCAAGCTCCGGTCAACTGTAATTGTGATTGTAAAGGATGGGCGTAAAGGAAGGAGAGTGCTGTTAAGAGGCTGTCAATTTGACAAATAAATCGTATATTTTCTATGAAGTTATTCGAAGTGTTTGACGGTATTCGTGGGAGTGGAATTTTCATAACAGTTTTTATCACTCAAACACTCAAAAGAGTATTTCGTGCCCAGAACTGACCCTGATGGGTCTGCCCGTGGCAACTTGCATACAATATTCTCTGAATTGTCTCCCACTCAAATGCACTCGAGATCCCGACTTTCTAAAGGGCAGGGCAAGCTAGTCCTTTTCTCGGCCATTTCACCCAAAATTGGCTGCGAAGCCGACTACAAGGAAGCCAGGTCTTTCATCATAGTTTTAAAGTTCCTCTACCACTTTCCCGATCTGACCGGCGTATCTTCACTTATCACTGTCGGCTATTTGACGTCGCCGTGCATTTTCGTTTTACACAACTCCTGGAAAAATAGGTTAATCCTTTTACGAAGTCGTCAATCGTATATGCTGGACACTCGGCGAATAAAGTGAAGTTACAAAGAGAATGATATACAGCGCCCTAACCCTCCCACCAAGAACAGTGCTTCGTTGACGTTCTAAGCAAGTTGAAAGTTGCATTAATTATCCCTACCACTCAACATCGCAGCTGGTAATCGTCTGCGCATGTACACTTTTATTTCTTTCTACAGATTTCTTCGAACATTCCATTAATCTTTCGCTTCTTTTGCGAGACAACGGTTTCTCTCGTTTTCTTTTGAAATTTTGCGCGGGAGATTGGCCCGCGGTTAACCAGAATTAATCCCCTGACCCATGCCCGACGCTAGACCGCTGTCTTCAACCCGCGTGTAACCCTTGTTATTTCAGAGATGGTGATTTATGGCAAGACTTGGGCAAGTGTTTGGTACACTATTAACACTGTATGGGAACCACAAAGCTAACAATAAACAGAAATTCACCCCTTCCATCACTTTATCTGCTGGGTTTGTGCAAAACATAAAACTTGACTGCAACTGTGGTACTAATGTACTACATACTACGTAATTACTGCTCTACAGATGCATAGACAGTTCAAAAATACCCCAAGGCACCATGAACATATAGATACCTTAATTCAAAAGATCCAAAAGTAGACATTAACATTGTGGCTAAAAACACAGGCGGCCCAGGCTCCAGCTGTGAGATGATCATCTTGCGCAATAACAGTCATGGCGGACTATTATAAGAGTTTGTTTGGGAATATTTACGACCGCTTTAAGGAATAAAAAAATACGTCAAATTCTCAATAGAAATACCTCACCTTACTCCCAAAGTGTATCACTTGTTATCTGACCGCTTACTTCGATGAAAAGAACCCATTTTAGCGAGTTGTCCATTTCGAGGTTTTCAACGTACCTAAGAAAAGCCCTTTTCTTGAACACTTCCTAAAAGTGTTGATTGCACAAATATCTGTTACTGCTGTAATAAACAACGGAGGCATTGGAAAGGGCATCGGTGGCATCGGGAAGGGCATCAAGAAGAATCATATTTACGTTTTGTAACTTACTGCGTGACGTGCGTGGCGAAAAAAGAAAACCATAACCGTGGTCCCCAAATGAATTCTCCCACCTTTCCCCAAAAAATTTTTAAATTTTCCGAAACTTCGCCTGTTCCTGTTCGTAGGTCTGGCCAAGCCTTTATGGTCATTGGCCCCCGTATAGCCGCTAACCATAGCTTATAAATACAGGCGTTTAGCGTTACTTGTAAAACTCCCCGAAGAAGTCTACGACAGTTAGACGAAACGCGTCGGAGAATAGAGAAGTTTTACAACTACTGTTCGCAGAGTGCTGCTCACCAGTTTAGATTTAAATACAATTTAAAAAAATTAGTTGCGATAGCTGAGGCCAGTTTTTCCATGCAAGTCGTTTGGATATACCTTTCACGGAGACGCCCACACAACATTATTTGAACTTATTGGAACTCTTTAACTAATTTTGTGATGTCAGCTTCCAGTTTGAATTCCTTCAGAACTCGATTACTGAATATCCCTGTACACAGTTTTGTTTTGTTATCTGGAACAGTGGTAAAAAAATATTATTAAACTTGTTAAACTTTCACCTGCCGTTCGGTTCGGACGTTAAGTTTTCATCCCGAGTGCATTTGTTAAATTGAATAGGAAAAAAAAACCACTTCTAACGGAAAACAGAATTATTTTAACGTCTGGATCTTTTGTAAAAGCTTTTGTTAAGCATGGTAAGCGCATTAGCCTCGACTTGGCTGTTTCTCGAAGCTCAGTGTTTTCCTGCTTGCCTTTTTCCACGTGAAATGGGGCGATTGAATTTTACATAATAAACACTAAAAGAACTACAGCTGATGGAAATTTTAAATTTCTTATCGTAGGCTGTGGATACAAACTTATTAATGACTCAAAAAATATACAAATCGAGAACAAAATTTTTGTAGAGTTGCTTAGCTTTTCATTTTTCTGGAATCGAAAGTCGATATTGCAAAATTCAAGTGAAAAGCAAGCCAACTGTGATTAATGCCTTAAACAAGGCAAGATACTTTTTTTTCGTCATACAACAAGTTACATATCGTAAATATCATTCTTCTTGATGCCTTCCCGATGCCTCCGTTCGTTAATAGCAGCAAAAATATTGTTCCAGTCAAAGCGTTTGAAAAATTGCTGAACTTTTTAAGTAGCGAAGTATAACTTGGTAACATTTTGGCTTTACAACACGATTGTTTTCTGCAAGTTACAAAACGTAAATATGATTCTTCTTGGTGCTTTTCCGAATACCACCGATGCCTTTTCCGATGCCTCCATTATTTATTACAGCAGTAAAAGATATATGTACAATCAACACTTTTGAAGAATTGCTTAACATTTTATTTAGCGAAGTATACTGTTAACATTTTGGCTTTACAAACACTATTGTTTTCTGCAACTACAACTGATATGTCTCTATATGAATTATTAAAGTTGTTTCCCCGCTGACCACTTGTATTTCGGTCATTTCTTCTTCCCCCGCTCCTCCCCGCTCCTCGCCCGTGATGTAATAACTCCCCCTCCCTTTCCGTCGCGAGCAGTGCATGGTTTGGTTACAGTGAAGGTGGAATCATCGTTCCTGTATGCTCGGCACGAAATGGAAGAACCCAGTATTAAGTATATTCTTCTGCGTGATCGTGTCGGACACTCAGTTGAAAAAAACATGTTGTCGCTCGGCCTTACGATGAAGTCTACACCAATGCAAGTTTTGCGAGGCGAGATATTAGAAGGTGTTCCTGAGGCTGAACAGCCTACAGACTCAACTAAAGTTGCTGTTGTTGGAATTGAACGTAAATCATTACGTCTTGAATGTCCTACGGAGGATATGGCTCGACTATCTGAGGAAGAAACCAACTTGCTTTTAGCAATTACTTCAGCTGAAGGAAGATACCTAACGTATTTAGATAGGAAACGTCTGACATTTGGACGACAATTGTTACCCGGAAGTACTGTTTTCGTTGAAGTGAAAGGAGCCTCAAAGGTTTTGCCTGGTGTTGTTTGGTACAAAGGTGTATTACCACCCAGTCTGGGAACTTGGTTTGGAGTTGAACTCATTGTAAGTACTCGTGCACTAGTGAAGTCGTGTTGTTGGATGTAACAATTTACATTATGAAAATTTTCTACAGATAGCAACAACACAGATTTTACGAAATTATCATGGAGACAACATTTCACACCGAGTTAAACTGAGTTCTTAACTTCTCATTAGTATTTCAGTTAACCTGCTCAGACTTACTAAAGTTGATTTCAACTTCTAGAATCTTGTCTTCGATGTCTACCTTCCTAGAAGACTCTTAGACTGAAGGGATTTAAGTTTTGATGCACCTGCGTATAGTTTTGAAAATTCACCTCTCTTGATTTACCAGTATCGACAACTTCATTTTACATGGGCTTCCTTTCCAGGATTTATAACTTCACAGTAAATAATGTTGTTGATTCCGTTGTTTGTGCTTTTATAAAGAACCAAAACAACCCCATAGAAAAGTCTTATTGTGTTAAGCTTTGCCAATTAGCATGGAAACTGTCACCCTGCTCTTAAGTGAATTTTTGAAGCTGTCTTCCACCTTCTTTTACAGAGCTGGGACTTTCACAAATCTCAAAAATAGTTCTTCTTCTTAACCTTTAATTTGTGACCTTTCAAGGAGATTCTGCTCATCAAAGCCAGGAAAGTGATAATTAACATCACCTTACTTGGAAAATTCACAATTTTGTTTACTTTCAACACGCTTCATTAATACAGCAAACTATAAAAACAGTTTCATCTAGGACAACCTTGTCACTTTCCTGAGGTGACATTTGTGACCTGCTTTAGTAAAACTCATAACCACAGGTTTTAGATTTCAAACAAAATTCTGTTTGCTTGCAGATTCTCAGCAATTCAAAGTAGCGATTCAAACTAGCATAACTTCTCAAGCAGCTTAAGTGACTGTTGAAAAAGTTCCAACAGTTGTTTGAACTGTTTTGACATCTATTCAGTTAAAATCTCCTCTTGTTTTAAAGGAGGAGGGTGACATACAATTGCAAACAATTTGCATCTACTAAAACAACTATCATCCCAGTTTGAACAATAATTTCTCTAAGTTTCAAAATGACAAGTGTTTTGATTGAAACAAGTGAGTGTTAAATTTAAGGCAAATACAATTTTCTCCATCAAACCCAAGTATCTTATTATCATTGCACTATGAAGTTTTGTATATTGATTAGCAGCAAGGAGCAGCTACATGTAGTTGAAAGGAAATTCTTAGATTCATAGTAGTAAGATCTAGTGGAAAGAAACTGACTATTATTTAGAATGAGCATCTCAAGAATTCAATAAGCTATTTCTTGCCCACAACTTGGATTTATAAATTTTTCTACTTCATAACTGTCATGAAGTCACTAGTAAAGTTCACAAACAATATGTAATTGTAAAACTTGCCTTTCAAACAGTTATGTGCAAGGTGTCATCTCTATTTAAGAATATGTCATGTTTACTGTTAAGATTTTAAAATGCTACTTTCTTGATGGTATGGTGTACATGTATGTTGCACTCTGGATACTGAACAGTCAGTAGGGGATAAAATTTTCATTGATGACAATGGCACCCATGGGAATGATAATGATGATGATAATGATGAAAGTCATGATGATGGTTAATGATGACAATAATCTTCAATAATAATGATTATGATCTGTGGTTTAACATACCTAGAAACATCCAGGGTCAGGAACGTGTGATGGAACATTTAGAAACAAGCGTTACTTTACCTGTGAGCCAGACTGTGGGGTTTTTGTTGGACTGGACAAATTGACACCTAGAGAAGATGAAGATGACTTGAAATCTTCAAAAATTGGGAAAATGGAAGTACCCAGTATGAACTTTATTATTCTAAGGGATTGTTTCGGACATGTAGTTGAAAAAAACATGTGGACACTGGGCTTTACGACAAAGTCTAAACAAATCAGTGTTTTACGAGGTGAGTTATCAGAAGCTCTTCCAGAGGCTGAACAGCCTGCAGACTTAACTAAAGTAGCTCTTGTTGGAATTGAATGTAAATCATTACGTCTTGAGTGTCCAATGAAGGATATGGCTCGACTATCTGAGGAAGAAACCAACTTGCTTTTAGCAATTACTTCACCTGAAGGAAGATACAAAGCATATATAGATAGGAAACATATGGCATTTGGCCAACAATTGTCAATTGGAAGTGATGTTTGGGTTGAAGTGGAAGGAATCACACAGATTTTGCCTGGTACTGTTTGGTATAAAGGTGTATTACCGCCCAATCTGGGAACTTGGTTTGGAGTTGAACTCATTGTAAGTACTCATGCACTAGTTAAGTTGTGTTGCTGGCTGTCCCTGGTGAAAATCTTTCAAGGATCTTTAAGGATCTTACAAGATCTTCATGAGGACCTTTGAGGATCCTCTTGAGGATCCTCTTGAGAAAATCTTTCAAGGATCTTTAAGGATCTTACAAGATCTTCATGAGGACCTTTGAGGATCCTCTTGAGGATCTTCATGAGGATCTTCAAAATTCTTGTTAAGATCTTCAAGGATCCTTCATTTTCTTGCCAAGATCTTCAAGGATCTTTCATTTTCTTGCCAAGATCTTCAAGGATCTTTGATTTTCTTGCCAAGATCCTCAAGGATCTTTCATTTTCTTGCCAAGATCTTCAAGGATCTTTGATTTTCTTGCCAAGATCTTTGAGGATCTTTGACTTTCTTGACAAGATCTTTAAGGATCTTTCATTTTCCTGTCAAGATCCTTGAAGATCTTTACATGAACTTTGAAGATCCTTTAAAGATCTTTGAAAATTCTTTGAGGATCTTCCAAATTCTTGTTAAGATCTTTGAGGGTCTCTCATTTTCTTGACAAGATCTTCAAGGATCTTTTTGAAAATTTTGAAGATCCTTAAAGATCTTGGAAAGAAAATAAAAGACCCTTAAAGATCTTGGCAATAAATTGAAAGATCTTTGAAGATCTTGGCATAAAAAAGAAAGATCCTTGAAGATTTTGACAGCCAAATTAAAGATCTTTGCAAGAGACTTGAAGATCCTTAAAGATCTTGACAAGAATGTCAGTGAACCTTGAAGATCCTGGCAAGGAAATGGAAGATCGTTGAAGATCTTAGCAAGAATGTTATAGAACCTTCGAAATTTTGACAAGAAAATAAGCATACTTAAATCCTCAGACTAAGTTAAAAAGAAAAATTGAACCAAACATAAAAAAATGAAGATAAAACTTTTTTTTATTGCTAAACGAGAATTACCCATCCTCTTCTAGTAGGACTACTTCTACACTATTTCTGTTCAGACTTTAGGTTAGTACTAAGATTTTCATTTTCCAAAAAATCTGGCAACAGTCCAGCTCAAAGATAAGAAGACCAAAATATATGTGTTAAACTTGTCTAGGACTAGACTATGACCAGACTCAGACTACTCTTACAGAGGGGGTAAACATGAAAAAAAGGCAAACAAGAGTACTTCAATGACTATATTTCTGAACCATATTAACCTATATACCAAAGGAAAGCTTAGGAATCACACATACTGAATATAACTAATATGTTGCCCTAAACTAATTTGTTATTTGACATCAGATCAATTTGTCCACCACATGGTGTGAAAAACCTAGGTAAACTTGAGAAAAGATAACTGCACAAAGATTGCATGAAATCAAGTGTTTTTAGTGTCAAAACAAAGTACTAGGGTCGTTCTTTTGGATGAGCTGAGCTGAACTTTTGGAGTCGTTTATATTATGGGCACAATGCCCGTTCAAAGTTCACCGAGATTATTAGGTGAGTTATTCCACAACATCTTACTTAAAATTCAGCTTATAGAGAAACTGTCAGCTTATCCAACTCAACTCAGTAAGAGGATACAGCCCTGAAAACTTCAGATTAATTGAACTAATACATCCTGAGGTACAAAATAAGTGTTTTCGGGAATTCATATGACAACCACTAAAAGAGCTTTTTAAGTTGGTTACACAGAACCAAGTAAATTCACACCTTCTTCAGAAACATGTCCTTCAGTGAGCGTCGAGGAGAATCTCTCTAGATCGATAAGCCTGTATCCTTGTCCCTGTAACACATCATTTGCATCCTCACTCTCCAAGAGCTCAGAGTAAGAATCATTAGGCGAGGATGGCATCTTCATTTTCTTTCCAGAAGTACCAATGAATTCTTTTCATTCAGCCCCAGAGTCAGAGCAATCGCGAGACCTGCTTGGAGTTTGATTGACGATTTCGGTTGTTTCTGTCTCTCTTTTCGCTTGTTTCTGAACTCCAGAAAACGCCTTTCCTTTACCTTTATTTCTGTGTACATTTTCCCTTAGTTCCGACCATTGTCGATGATATTTGCCGTAAAAACGAGCTTCTTATGTTTTTATGCGACCGTTAAAAATCTCGGCGCGTATAAATTCCTATCCCATAATGCAAAACCCTATTTGTTGTCATGTAAGTAGTCACAAAGTTTCCCGAAAGCCTCGAGCATGGCGTTGCTATGCGGTAACCTTCATTACACTCATTGCACAATAATTTTCTGCGAAAATTCCTTGTTGTGTTTAAATGATAAAACAGAGAGCCCTTAATTTACAATTTTTTTATGTTTGAAATTACTTGAGGATTTCAAAGGAACCTAATTCATAATGCAGAGATGTGGTAGAGATCTTGACAAAGTTGCCTTTGAGATCCACATCAAATTCAAAAAGGATCCTTACAAAGAGCTGTACAAAATCATGAAATGAATCTTTTAAAGATATTTGGAAGATCCTTTTCAATTCCTTGAGGATCTTAAAGGATTGTAGAACAGATCATGCAAAGATCTTGACTAGGATCCTTGTAACTCCTAATCAAATTCTTAAGGATCTTAGCAAAGATCTTAGCAGGATCCCTAAAAGGTTCTTTTGAAGGTCTTTAAAAGATCCTCATTAAATCCTTGAGGATCCTGAAGGATCCTTGAAAAGATCCTGCAAAGATCTTGACTTAAGGATCCTTGTAAGATCCTGATCAAATTCCTAAGGATCCTGGCAAAGATCTTTACAGGATCCTTGAAAGGATCTTTTGTAGGTCTTTAAAAGATCCTCATTAAATCCTTGAGGATCTTAAAGGATCCTTGAAAAGATCTTGCAAAGATCTTGAGTAGGATCCTTGTAAGATCCTGATCAAATCCTTAAGGATCCTTGCAAAGATCTTAATAGGATCCTTGAAAGGATCTTTGGAAGGTCTTTAAAAGATCCTCATTAAATCCTTGAGGATCTTGAAAGATCCTCAAAAAGATCCTGCAAAGATCTTGACTAGGATCCTTGCAAGATCCTGATTAAATCCTTAAGGATCCTTACAAAGATCTTGAAAGGATCCTTGAAAGGATCTTTTGAGGGTCTTTGAAAGATCCTTGCTAAATCCTTGAGGATCTTGAAGGATCCTTGAAAAGAACTTTGCAAGGATCCTTATGAGGATCTTTGTAATATCCTTTGAGGATCTTTATCAAATCCTTGAGGATCTTAACAAATGTTTTTGCTTACAAAGATCTTTGAGGATCTTTTACAGATCCTTTAAAGATCTTTTAAAGATCCTTGTCCTTAAGGATCTTTGGCAGGTCTTTGTCAATCCTTGAAGATCCTCAAAGATCCTGTGAGGTTTTTCACCAGGGGTAACAATTTACATTATGTACATTTTGTACAGATAGCAACACAACTAAGGTACTACGTAATACTGAGTTAAGCTTGCTTTTACATCTCCCGAGTATTTCAATGTCCTCAATGTCTATCTTCCTAGGAGACTCTTAGACTGAAGGGGAGATTTAAATGATTCATTCAATAGTATGTAATAGAAAAACTTGCCCTTCAAATGGTCATGTGCAATATGTCATCTCCAATTAAGAATAATGTCATGCTCTCTGTTAAGATTTTAAAATCCTGCTTAGTATGGTGTACATGTATGTTACACACTGGATTCTGAACAATGTGTATGGGATAACATTTTTATTGATTGCGATGGCACCCTTGGTGATGATGATGATGATACTGATGAAAGTCATGATGACAATACTCTTTAAATTAATGATTATGATCTGTGGTTTAACATATCTAGAAACATCCAGGGTCAGGAACATGCGATGGAACATTTGGCAACAAGCAATACTTTGTCTGTGGGCTAGACTGTGGGGTTTTTGTTGGACTGGACAAATTGACACCTAGAGGAAATGAAGATGACTTGAAATCTTCGAAAATTGCAGAACAAGACGAAAACATTCAGGCTGAACTTAAATCAAGTCTTCAGGATGCTATATCGTCATTTTGGAAGGGAAAACACGAGCAAAGGCAATTTCAAGGAATTGATGGAGTGCTTAAGACTGGTGAAAGAGTTGTGACATTTATTGAGGATAGTCCAGCCAGGGGAACTGTGCGATATATTGGTGAGGAGGAGGATAGAAATTTTCGTACAATTGTAGGATTAGAACTGGTAAGTTCATGAACATGCTTGTTTAACCAAATGTGATTAAGCTTTGTATTTAATAAAGTGTTATCCAGCTATCAGAGGAGATTAAACTGAATGATTAGTTTCGTTTTCCCGTTGCATTCTCGCGCGTGAAAATGGGTCTATAGTTTCTGCAAAGAGGAAATGAAAGAAAGAAAAGAAATAATTGATAGGTGTAGGGTGTAGGTTTCGGATGGGTCGAGTAACATTGAGTAACTGACGTTTGCATTTTTGCAAAAGAAAAACAGCTTTCACCTTCAAAAGATTTCAATGAAAAATATCGTTCAAAAAATATATGAAATAAACTCAGACATACGTATATTACGGTCTATTGCCGTTTGTATCTGAATAATTGTAAGCAAAAATAAATTGTATTGGTGCCACGCCTCCCGTACTCTCCTCCACAGTCGTTGTTTGGTCTCGTCATGCAACACGCCCTCTTCCACGTTTAGTGACGAGACCAAACATTATGGCCAGCTGGAAAGCTAAGACAAGGCTTAGTGCTGTTCCTTCGTGAGAGACAAATTAACATTATTTGGTTACAGCTAGTTGCCTAAAAATATTTTTTCACATAATTTTGCCGTGGGAAGCAAACCAAAACTATATTTTATCTCCAATAGCCTCAAACCAGAGATATTTTGTGGCCTCCGTTCTTCAAACAAGTGAAAATACAATAGACGAAGAGAATTGTATCATATTTCAAAGGTTTTCACGTAGGCATAACAACGTTCCTCATTTGGTTGTTGCCTTTCTGGACTTTGCCTAGTGCGTGTGGAATACGTGATAAAGTATTGGCGGGTAGTTTACAAAAAATTAAGACATTACAGGGTGAAGTCTAAGGTGGCGGAAAGCGAATTTGATTGGTAGAAAACATCTAAGCACGTGAGAAGTGCGTGGAAAATTGACTAATATATTTCATGTGGGGGAGGATTATGTCATAAAATTTAGGTTGTTTACTGGAAGCTTTTCATTAGAGAAAACTAATTCCATACTGATAGGTAAACATGTAATTATAGAAAGAAAACAACGTTTAAGCACAAGATGTAATTCGTAGAGAACTTTTAAAAGCGCACAAACAGTCATTTCTTATCGCAGTCGACGAAGAAAGTAAATATAACTTGCTGATCTTTTCAACCTTCGCCAGAAGAGCAAAAAGTAAAAAAGTACGTGAAAAATGTTCTAGTCAATTTTCCAATGTCAAGGTTAGAGTTCTTTGACTTGATTGGCTCATTTATAAAATCATGCGCGCCGTGCGTGAATAAAAAAAGAATACAAAGGGGGAGAGGAAGAGAAAAATTGTTATTTTAAATTTAAAAACAAAGGAGGTGTTCTGTCTTCATCTGCGATAGAAGTCACGGGTTTAGGCCACAGGCAGACCACTTATTGGTGCGACAGGAAGGAAAAACTTTTTGAATTTAAAGGAATGCGTAAAGGACTGAAATATTAAACCGAACACCGTATCTTTGTCTAAAAAGCTTTAATAATATGAAACGAAATGTTGGTACACGTAAGTATAGCGTTGTTAGCCCAGAACTACCAAACTCTGATTAGTCAATTCGAGGCAAACAATTAAGTGCATTAACATTTCGTTTCACTTTAAATGAGGTTTTTGGACAAAAATGCTGTAAATGTTATCTTTCACTCCTGTAAGAAGTTTTCCCTACCACGTGGTCGACCTGTTGGGTGATCTGCCTGTGGTTAGGTTGTCCAGCATTAAACTGCAGAGGGAAACTGGTAACTGCAACGTTCTTCGTCAGCTCATGTATCAATGATGAGCAGAGTTGACAAAGAATTAAAAATTTTCATTTTACGTTCCGAAGGCATAATTTAAAAGAAACTGATTGGGACGTAGCTGGTTTTGATTGGAATATAATTCGAGCGTTACTTCTTTAAAATTAGGTCCGATTTTGTTTTGTTTTCTTATTGCAGATTTTTTTAAGCGAACCTACTGAAACTAAAAGTGCATATACAAGCTGGGTAATAGAGTTTAAACTGGTTGTAAGAAAAACATCTACACTGTAATTGGCGAATTAGTGTTTTAAAAGTTGTTGTGTCCGTCTGTCACATTTTTATTTAGGATGAAAGATTGGGATTTGGTTGTGGTAAAAGACGTGGCTCTCAAAAGTTTGTTTGTAAGAGGGATTTTGCAGCATTTGTACCATTGGAAACTGTCATACCAGAGAAGGACTTTGATGGTTATTTTGGAGAAGCTGCAGGACAAGAAGCTCAGGGAAAGCGGGAGCAAATTCATGAAGACGAAATGTATGCAAGATCAATGAGCTGTGGTAATTTACCATCAGGTAGACAAATGATTTGATATCTCAGTTGTTTTATAAATTTTTGGTTCACCTAGTCAAGCACACCATGCATTATGAAGCAGAAAATCACAATCTGTGAACTGATGTCTCTTTCACTCGATTCCCAGAAAATATTCAGATGTTGAGAAATTGTTCTTCCAATTAAAAAAAAGGGGTATCAGATTGAAACTTTTAATTTTTGTTTCTTGGACATTTTAAAACACTGAAGCTTTAGTTGTATGGTGACATGGTGTCCTCGAGTGCTTTTTTTCCTCTGAATTTTTAGATCTTTTGCAAGTAAAATTATTTGTATGAATGGTTTGTGATAGATTGATTTGCAACTTTGCTATTACTGGGGTCAGAATGAATACTGGGATTGACCAACACTCTACCAGGTCCCTCAAAGGGCATGTTGTTTTGCGCGGCCTTGATCTTTGTTGTTGTTGTGTGAGATGCAGAGCCGAAAAAAGTGTTGCAAATTCCTCTAAAGTTGGATGTTTGCATACCTTTTTTCTTTCCGAAGAGATCATTGATCTATGTGGGGACGTGTAAGGTACAAAATTTTTACAAAAACCCGGCTTTTATTTTCAATTCGTGGGTTCATGTAGACTTCCGTGATAAGTAGTCATACACCATCCGTTTCATTCCATTTTGCGCAACCTTGATTTTTTTAGTTACAGAGTCTCAAAAATATCCAGGTCTTAACGATGAATCGTGCTGGGATTTTAAAGATGAAAACTTTAAAAGACAAGCATGGGAATCTGTTTTCCTCTTTTCTTTTATACGTCCCTTTAACGACTTCAAATGAAAAATGAACCTTTAAAGAAGAAAGGAAAGCAAACGCTCATGTTAATTCAGTCGCCATGTTTAATCTTTGAAAAAGCCTGCGGTTTATTGATTCACACAAGGTCGTAACACTGGCGACTACGCTTATAATTGTTGTTGCGATTACGACGATCGCGCACTGGTGTGAACAAGCCTTTCTAACACTGAGAACTAAGTTTCTGAATGATGTCATGATAAGGTGCAGTGCAGTTCACGAATTTCTGGACTGTCACAGGCAGAAGTGTTGTCAAATTATTTGTGAAATTTGAACAGCATTTAAACATAACCCTATTGTTGTGACCAATTTGAGTAAGAGTCTAAAATAGCTTGAAAAAAACGTGAAAAATCGTACATTATTTTACTTTATTGTTTCCTTTCCTTGAGATGCATGCAATGAATGTGCCAAAAAAACTAAGACGAACTAATTTATTGAATTTTTCTGGAGTAGAAGCAATCATAATCTGTGAACTGATTCCCCTTTCACTCATTTCCCATAAGCCTAAAGCATTTAAATGTTGAGACTTAAAAAAAGAAGCCTATTCAATTTGAGCATCAGTTTTACCTTGAACCTTTTGAAACACTTAAGGTTGAGATGCATGGTGACATGTCGTAAAGTGCATTTTTTTCTGAATTCTCAGGTCTTTTGCAGGTAGAATTATTTGTATGAATGGTTTGCGATGGTTTAATTGTCAGACAAGTTTTGAAATTGGAAAGGCATCTGGGGGTACTTTTATTGTAGTAGTGCATAGAACATAGCTTGAAGCATTGTGGTGAGGAAAACATGGTGGATTCATTTTGTATCTTCATCTTAGTTACTAGTACGGAATCTGTCAAAAAACTAAGAAGAGCAACTTTAATGACCTTTGCTGAAACAGAACTCATGATGGCAGCTGGAGAATCCAGCAAAACCAATCGACAGAAATTTATAGAGAAACGACGTCAGATGCTCAGGGAGTTTGAGTGTAAAAACCTGCCCAGTGACAATCAAGATAATGCTGTCATCACACACGATGCAGAAAGGAGAGACAGTACCGAAGATTTTCACTTTAATGATGCTCCTTTCAAAGACACTCCTCTGGTCAGTTGTGGTCAAACTTGGGAAAGGACGGTTCACCTCGGTTTGGCCAGTAGTGACCCCGAGAATAGAAGACGAAAAACTCTTGGTAAGTTTCAAACATAAAGTGGTTCTTTACAAGCAACATAACATCAGGCAGGCATCTTCCAAGTACATGCACCTTGTGTAAAATACCTACTCTAAACTAGCACTTTCATTCATGTTCATCTAGTGAGTGTGAGTGAAATGTCTTTTACTGTCGGGACAAGAATATTTTTCGCTCTGTAATGTAGAAATTGTCCATCAGATTTCTCCCTAGACATCATTTCCTGTCACTACGATGGAAATTCTAGGGAACGGAGGAAATTCATGAGAGTGAATTGATTATAAGATCAGTGAGTTGTAAAAGATACAGTTGCTAGACTCTTTCAACCTTTTTGTGACGATATCCCCTTGAAAGGAGTCTGGCAGTATGTATCAACTTGTAGGAACACCCTGTGTTGTGTGTGGGTTCTCTGCATTTAGAGGTTTCCCATTTTGTCATTTATGTTTCATTCCCCTCAAGAAAAGCAACGGCAATCACGAGACATGGAAGGTCAGCTGCCGAGCTTGCAAGAGAAACCGAGAGAAAATGACGAAGAAGAAAAGAATTTACTCGAACGATTGAGAGAGATGGAGCAGCAGTTGACTCAATTACGAGCACAACTGGAAGAGAAAGAGTCGGAAAAGCAGGAACAAGGTGACAGATTACAGAGACAGTTGCGGGAGATGGAGCAACGGTTGGCAGACGAACACGAACGACTGCAGGAGAAGCATGATCAGCCTGTGAACCCCGAAGCACAAGTGAAACAGATGGAGGAACAGCTGACAAACGCTCAAGGACAGTTACAAGAGAAGCATGATCAGTTAGTGAACTCCAAAGCACAAGTGAAAAAGATGGAGGAACAGCTGACAAACGCTCAAGGACAGTTACAAGAGAAGCATGATCAGTTAGTGAACTCCGAAGCACAAGTGAAAAAGATGGAGGAACAGCTGACAAACGCTCAAGGACAGCTACAAGAGAAGCATGATCAGTTAGTTAACTCAGAGACACAAGTCCGGGAGACAGAGGAACAAGTGACAAACTTACGAAGACAGTTACATGAACATTTAGTGAATTCAGACGTACAAATTAGAGAGGCGACACAGCAATTGACCAATATCCAAGAGCAACTACAGGGAAAAGATGAAGAAATTGCTGGTTTAAAAAATCAGTTAACTGAACTCGAAATGACTCTCTCGACAGCTCAACAATTAGCGTTAAATGCACGTCAACGGCAGGAGTCACCTGACTGGGTCATTTCACGCGATCAAATTCACGTGACAGATAAATGCCTCGGAAGGGGAGGCTGGGGACATGTTGTGGAAGGAAAGTATTGTGGTTGTGCCGTAGCTGTGAAACAAATCCATGAGTTGATTCTTTCCAATCACAACCGCAGTTTGTTTGTGCGAGAAATGAACATAGCTTCAAGATGTCGTCACCCATGTTTGTTGCAGTTCATTGGGGCAACAAATGACGAAGGAAGTCCTTTGTTTGTCACAGAGCTGATGGAAACAAGTTTACGAGCACTGTTAAAGCGACCGCTTTCCGCTACTGAATTGTTCGTTATTTCCCTGGATGTGGCTCGAGCATTAAACTATCTTCACCAGAAGCAACCATCTCCCATCATTCACCGGGACATCAGCAGTGCAAATGTGTTGCTATGGCGACAAGGTGACCAATGGCGAGCCAAGGTTTCAGATTATGGCACAGCCAATTTCATGCGACATACCATGACAGTTGCACCTGGAGCGCCAATTTACAGTGCACCTGAAGCAGTCACTAAAAACCAAACCGTTAAGGTATGTTTGATTTAATATTTGTTTTTTTCTCCACAATGACCCTTTGTCAATGGTGTGTATCCTCAAATTTTATTCACTTAACGCAAGGTTGCGGTCATTATCACATCGACATCGACATTATCAATACCACCGAGTTGATTGGCGATATTGTGGTTAATATCATTGAATTTACTGTAAGTTGTTTTCGATATTCAGGTTGATGTATACAGTTTTGGTGTTCTTCTTTGTGAGATGTCGATCCAGGAAATGCCAGATCCTGAAAAGCGTGAACAGCAAGTTGCACTTGTAACAAACCGTGTGATTCGAGCTCTCATCCGGGGATGCTTGCAAACAGAGCCTGAGGAGAGACCGTGTATGGAGGAAATAATCGATGAACTTGAACAGCCAACGTGAGACAATTTTTGATACTATTGGTTGTGTACATTTAAATATAAAGCGTAAAGGTATTTCCTCAGAAATAATTTGTTCGGTAAGTTAGTTAGTAAGTCTTCAGACACGATCGGTATTATTTTATTATGATGATATAGAGAAGTCGTTCATGATAAAATGCAATTATAGATGAGGATAGCTTTTATCAACAATTTGGTACTGTATCAGCAAAATGTGAGAAAAGATAGCTAGATAGATAGTTTGAATCGTTAGAGAAATTTAGAAAGAAGTACTTTTAGTTCGAATTTCTTTAGTCCATGAAACAATTCAAAATAGTGGTCGTCATGATGTGTTTTGTTGAAAAGCCTTAAATTGTGAAAATAGTCCATTTGGATGTGCTCTGCGCCCATTGACATTCCGCATGCCTATACTGGTACGCGCAAGACGTTGATGCGGTCACCAGAGCGTTCAGGATAATTGGTCTTTGTGCGAAATGCGGTACACAGGGCGATTTCACATCGGCTGTTTTGAGCTACGAGACAATATGTATAAGGTGAAAAAGAGAGAGATTATAAGGTTCACCGTGATACGATTTTGTTTTGGTGAACATAGATGAAAGAGAAATACTTTGTAAACGGAACGGAACATTTTCTCTTTATTGTTTTGAAGTGTAGACGTGGTAAACATAGATTTATATTGAATAGAGGGGGTAAGTTTCTGAAAAAACCGTGGTGCTGCGTCGGTGAGATAGTATAACAAGGTAATTTAGTGTTATCAATTGAGTTGATACCGTCAAGAGTTTAAGAGCTGACGTTTCGAGCATTAGCCCTTCGTCAATCGCTTTGACAAGGGGCTGACGCTCTAAACGTCAGCTTTTAAACTTTTCACGGTGGCCAAGTTACGTTATCAACTCAGTTGATAATACGAAATTACCTTATAGATTTATATTGGTATGGTTTTTTAACTTTTTTGTAGGCCATGCAAAAAGACAAACTAACTCAATCAAAAACGAAAACAAGAACGAAAAAAACTTAAGTACAGGACCGTTTTGTGGAACAATGATGGAAGGAGTGCTTGCAGAATAACAGATCAGATAGTAAACTGATTAGCTTATGTTTCGTACAGGAAATCAGGTTTTGAGCTGAGAATAGGTTCAAAATACGGCTTGTTTGTTACCTTTTTTGCGCCGAATTAGCAATTTTCTACACAGAAGTACCTCTCTTTCGCATTGTGTTACCTGAAAACTGCATATCTCCCAACCAATCAGAATGAAGAAAATTTGTCATGTAAATTTGTCACCAACATTGAGGGAATAGTTGTGTTACCACATACTAAAACCGTGAGATAATATAGATAATATAACCCAAAAAGATGATTTAACCTCGCTTGTTCCTGCAGCGATAAAAATATTTTCTGGTGCAATCCCGCGCGAGTTGCTCGGCAGTGAATAGCAAAGGATATTCGAAGTTTGAACGGCCAATCAGAGCGTGCTTTAACACTATCCACTATATTAGTATATATTAAATTTGTTATAATTATCTCTATCGCCAAAGTTGTGAAATTTTATGGGATATGACTACCATACACTATGTGTAGCTTTGTTGCGAGGATAGCTGACCTGCGAGCACAAAAAAACTGAAGATCCATATTTAATGTTGTTAAATATTTAAATCTACCAAGGTATAGCGCAGTATCACTGCTAACACGGTATTGCTGTAGTAACAAAAGCGAATAAGTTTTGTATCGTGATCCAACCATTGAGTATAACTCAAACTAGAAAATGAAAAAGGAAGATAGATTTAGACCTACCTTAATTTCAACTCCATGTCGTATCGTATTTTTCCAGCGGTTGCGTGAAATCCCTCGCATTTTCGTGGCACCTAGTGCCGCAAGCGAGCCAACAGAAACATCGTTGCAGAATACATGGAGAGTTCGAGGTTCCGAAACCTACCATTATTGATTGAGGGCCAAACTTTGAAAGGCTGTAAAAGTGATACGACTATACCGCCTTGAAAGGTGTCTCTCTTGTGAGTAAAACTATGGAAGGATCGCGTTACCTTTCAATAGTGCTGATTAACAATAGTTTGTAGTAAGCAGGGCATGTTATCATAATCATTTGTTTTAAAGAGTCACTTTTCGTGGCTGAAGTTAATCAAACGTTTCTGAAGTAAATTTCATTCCCGATTGCGGAACAAGTCGATAAAGAGATTTAGCAAGTGGATAGCGTGATCCAATCTTCGAACAGCTGTGTTCTGATCTCTCTTCCCGTCAACCCTGTTGCACAAATAAATGGTATATTTTCTTAGTTTGGGTATTCGTAGGAACTTTCATAACAGTTTTTATCTTAAGGTGAAATCATTGTCTCTGAATTGTCTCCCACTCAAATGAGGTCCTTGGCGATCTTGAATCCAGTACCATTGCTTGACCGGCGTATCTTCACTTTCACTGTCGGCTATTTGACGTCGCCGTGCATTTTCGTTTTACACCACTCCTGGAAAAATAGGTTAATCCTTTTACGAAGTCGTCAATCGTCTATGCTGGACACTCGGCGAATAAAGTGAAGTTACAAAGAGAATGATATACAGCGCCCTAACCCTCCCACCAAGAACAGTGCTTCGTTGACGTTCTAAGCGAGTTGAAAGTTGCATTAATTATCCCTACCACTCAACATCACAGCTGTCAATCGTCTGCGCATGTGCACTTTGTTTCCTTCTACAGATTTCTTCGAACATTCCATTAATCTTTCGCTTCTTTTGCGAGACAACGGTTTCTCACGTTTTCTTTTGAAATTTTGCGCGGGAGATTGGCCCGCGGTTAACCAGAATTAATCCCCTGACCCATGCCCGATGTTGCTAGACCGCTGTCTTCAACCCACGTGCAACCCTTGTTATTTCAGAGACACAAAGATGAGACGGTTTCTGACTGTACACGAACTATTGAGTAATAGTTTATTTTGACATAAAACTTAATATGACAGCTCCGGCTTAAAGCTCTACATAGTTACTCTGATATCAACTGTCGTGATCACTGATTCGGGAAGTTTTGATCATACTTTTCAAAGCAGATCCAAGAGTTTTCTTTCGTTCGCATTCTGGAATAGCCACTAAATCTACCAAGGCAGACTAAATCATACATACAAATAAACAACAAACAAACAAACACACGTACTGACGACACAAGACACAACAACACACAATCCTGCATGTCAGAAAAAAAATTAAGATTTGTGTTCTTTGTTTTTTTCGCTTTCGGGTCAATATACAATATGTTGAGGGTTGCAGCATATTTCTGCAAACTGATTTCTGAACAAAACAAGTTCTTGGAGAGGAAAAGAGAAAACGACGATTAGCAGGGAAAAGGGACAGAGCTTCTCTATGATCTACTTGGGTCTACATGACCTAATCTACTTACATTTTCACGGACACAAACACCAAGAAGAAATAGTCAACACATTTACTGTACAGCATCTTAGTAAGGAGCAAATTAAGACAGGTTCCTTTTTAAAAAAACTCCCCAGGCCTTTATAACTTTTCTTTTTTATGAACTTTCTTCGCTTCTGCTTTCGACTAGAAGCAACGGAATAGTTTTGTTTTCAATCAACGAAACATGGAAATCGGGGAGTTTAGAACTGTGGGGGGGGGGAGGCAAATATTACAATTACATCACGTTTTAATCCAGGCTGCCTACACTATGGTTTCCTTCCAATACGGGTGAGTTAAAAAGCCTTTTCCATGTTCATAATATAAATCTAAATTATTATATGTACTTATTCACACTTCAAAAGGACAATATTCAGATTTGATAGTAATATTATAAGGAGTCTGCAAACAAAGAAAATCCAAGATGCCCTGGTACACTGCAGTTGAGTGTAACAGGCCCCCCCTGTACGAAGCCTGAGTTACATTCATCTCAGAAATGACCAATAACTACTTAATTTGGAATATTTTAATTTACTCGGTCACCAGGTACCATGAAGAAAGAAAATTCTTGTTAAGAGTTTTCACGCGTCTTAAAAAAGAAAGACAAATTTCTACCGAGAGCGCTGGCACGTTTCGTTTCTATGGTAACCACCAGGAAGACAACTTCGTCTTCACTGACATGAGTAACCAATCTCACAAATACATTTTCTTTGCCTGCACACTGTTGAGTTTTTTTCAAGATCTAGCAAATTTCATCGGCCGAGTTCTTGGCGCCTACGGCCAGGAACGTGCGATAAGAAATTCATCTTCTAGGATAAGTTTTCGAGTTTCAAAGAGGACTAAGAACCAAAGAACGCTATGTGGACAGACACCACGCGCTAAATCCCCCGTCCCCCACCCCCAACGAAATTCTCCTTTTCTCGGCACAGAACGATACAGCTGACAGACAAAGTCCTGTGAAAAGCCACAGAAAACTAAACGCTACATTATTCCACTGCATTAAATTTTTTTTTGTACACTACTTTACAAGGCTGGTTTCTGACATAATTTCATCGCTGGTATGTTTGGAGTAGACATTGAAGCCGACGCCCCACTGCATTCCCCGTCCCATATCGGAATAAAACAGCTGAATGTTTGTGTGGTATAATAGCACAGCACATGGCAAGCAGCCTTGGTCAGGGCTGTTCAGAAAGCTGGATGAAAAGTTGGGGAAGGAGAAGAGGGAACCCATCACAGAAGCTCATACTGGCGGAGATGCATCCGCTGGATTATGTCGCGGCAGTCGTTGAACACTCGTCGAATATTCTCCGTGTCTACTGCGCATGTAAAGTGTGGATAACAGTAATGTTTACCATCTCCGCTGGCTGTGCTGATCCGCTAGATGAGACAAAAGAGAACTGTTACATGAAATCCCAAGGCAATATGACATGCGGAGAAGGTAGAGGGTTGGGGGGGGGGGGGGGGGGGAGACAGAGGAAATTTCTTAAATGGAATATTGGAGTTTTTTCCCACGCGGTTTATTCCTCGAACGGATAGAGGCTGATATCTATCAGAAGTAGAGAGCTAAATGTGAGATCGTTACGTAATCATAATGCCAATAGAGAAAACTCGTGCAATCTTTTACATCGCTACAATTAGGAAATAAAGACATCAACGAGGCTCCCTTTAAATGAGAATCCAAGAAGTACTTACAAGGAATTCATCACGAATAAAATATTTAGCTCTTGTCACCGATTCCTCATCCCCAGGCTCTGCCGTGGCTAAACAAAAAACAATGTAAGTGAAGAGACGATGGACTGTTGTGAAAGAAGATACTACAGAAGATACAGGCTAGTGCCCATCTCATTTTATTTTGTTTTAAAACAAAAAGAAGAGAGCTTCCAGTTGACTGAAGGATGGGTAGCAACTACCCAGTGAATAATTGTTATTTGGCAAGAAAAGTTAGTTTCCTAACCGCGTTGACACTGTTATGTTGCTCATTGTGGCGCACATTAACTTATCAGCTAGAAAAAACTCTCATAGATTCACGTTAGATTGCCTGACTCAAATCAATGCACACTGAACACTAATACACTTTCAGTTGTACTCAATACACTACCTACACCAAATCAATCATATTTCCGGACCATTAACCAAAACAAGGAACTAACTGAGGACAAAAAAAGCCACGATTCAGATAGCGGGGAATGTTTAAATTTCCGAAAAGTTAGTGAATACTTTGTACAGTAGCTCAATTTATAATCAAATTTTAAAGAGTAGATACAGCAAAAAAATACACTAACGTGCTTGTCAATGACATAATAACTAAGCACAAAACAAAATAAGTAGAAATGCACCAATCACGACTCAAAAACATGCCTTTTTTAAGCCTCTGAGGTATTCCACAGTTAACATCAAGTCATTGAAAGGAACAGTATATAAAGCCCTCGTCAAAAACCTAACTCCATTTTTTCTAGAGAAAAGGGTTTTTTTCCGTCTCGTCACAAGCGTCTGACAAAAAAAATCTGATCCCCATGAGGAATCGAACCACAGGGGTTCGTATTAGGTGTTCCCATTTCCTAACACTCAGACACAGAGACTGTACAGTGAGCTACACCATTATGAGGTTGATTTTCTTCTGTACGTCTTACCATCAGGAGGAGTTCTGTAACGCGCAAAGTCCGGGAAATAGTCCTCAATCTTGGACTTGCCAGCCCGCACCTTTTCTTTAAGCAAATCTTGTTTGTTGAGAAACAATATTACTGAGATTGTTCTCAACCATCTGGGAAGAAATAAAACAATTACAGTATTACTTTTATTTGTTCTGCCGTTGAGCACTTCTTGCATTCTTACCAAATTTCTCAAAACGAATGAAGACAGACTCAAAGCATTACAGTCTTAAAAAAATATATATGCTTGGAAGGATCTTTAGGTAAAGCTGGGAGAGCATAATCCCTTTAAACCATTGTCTTGATTCCACATGCATTCTGCTAAGTTTAAATAATTCCAATTTAAGAATAGAACAATGGAAAACAATTTTCTCGAATTTGACTGACATCAAAACTTCAAAACATTTTTTGACAACTTCAGAAAACATTCCATGTAAATATTTTTCAAAATGTTGCTCAATACTTAAGTAATCACATCTAAAGGTGATTTATGGCAAGACTTGGGCATGTGTTTGGTACACTATTAACACTGTATGGGAACCACAAAGCTAGCAATAAACAGAAATTCACCCCTTCCATCACTTTATCTGCTGGGTTTGTGCAAAACATAAAACTTGACTGCAACTATGGTACTAATGCACTACATACTATGTGATTACTGCTCTACAGATGCACAGACAGTTCAAAAATGCCTTAAGGCACCATGAACATAGACATTGCTTAATTCAAAAGATCCAAAGGTAGGCATTGTGGCTAAAAATAAATTAGGGATTCCATTGTAACTTAACCTTGTGATTTACAAATGACAAAAAAAAACACCCCTTTGAGAAACACTTGAGTGCTGTATTATCATATGGACAGCTCTTTCGTTATTTTGCTTTGGTCGATTGTTTGTGATATGCAACAAATAAAGTATGTCTGTAATATTGAACAGTTTGATCAGCTAACATCCAAAGTAGTTCAAAGGTTCTGAGAATCGATGATATTACTATACATTCAAGGTTTTCACAAGCTAAAAATGACCATTTGCAAGTATAAGTAGGAAAAAAAATGCTCTCTGTTCTTTTTAACTTATTCCTTCAAATCTCTCCAACAACCCTTGGAACATTCACTTTACTGTTGGCCGCTATGTGTATGCCATTTATTACCCACTCATTTCAGTAATTTCGGGGGCTGACAGAAGAGCCTCTTCAAAATAAGATTTACAAATGTGTTATTGACCAAGCAGGAGGTCAAAATGGCTAGACATTAGCCAAATTCTTTGTCTGTGTTTTTATGGACCAAGTTGAAGTCTTGGTCAATAAAAACCCAAATAAAGAACAAGGCTAATATCCAGCCATCTTAACTGAACAAGCTTTGTCGGATTTATGATATAGCAAAACCACCTCACTTTATTAAGAATCAAGAATGACTCATGTATTTTAAGCACTGGGATAGAAAGCCAATTGTGTTGAAGCACATTAAACCTGTGAGAGTCTTGTAAGTTTTCTTTGATAAGACTGTCTTCTGCCACTTTTTGTGACTCCATCAATGACAAAGTCCAAAAATTATAAACCTTATTTTTTTTTCCCCCCTTGCCTGGAATCAAAGCAGGCAGTCCTGTGCAGGCAAGATGGGTCCATCTTCCCCCCACATGGTAGCCAATCATAACACAGGATTTGATTCATACATCCGATGGGTGCTGCAAGCAGCATAATAATATTAGGAAAACTCTTTTAGCTGGCTGTTCAATACTATTCCACTTAAGATAAACTATTTGTTCCAATTTTTACTGAATAATACTGTCAGTTCACAAACCTGTTATTCCAAATACTTTTGAATAATTCAAGACTCTCCTTCAACCGATTCTGAGGAAAAAAAGGAATTTATAAGACTTGTATATCATTATTTTAAAAGCCAGTAACAACAATTCAAGACTTTTCATTCATCAAGCTTAACCCTTTGACTCCCAGAAGTGATTAACATTTCACCTCTTTACAATATCCATACATTTTCCAGTAACAGGTTATGAAAACACTCAAATTTGTAACTCAGATCTAACACTGAATTCTTGTAACTTATTTACTAGGAAATCTGTAGAAACTAGAAGGGAGAATTAACAATCAGATCTTAGGAGTTAAAGGGTTTAGAAACTAATCACAGGAGTGAAGAAGGAGTTCCACTCGTTTAAGAAGGCTGCATCAATACTAGTCATCACCAAATGAACATGATTAAAAGAGCTGACATCAAAATTAGTACTCTGTGATAACTTCCTTCAACAAAAAGAAGAACGAGATTGTTGATGTTGTTTGGTCAAAGACACCAATATACTTGGAGAAAAAAAAATTTAAGTGTTTACAACTGAACTCAAACCCATGACACTCCCACTGTCACATGTGCTGTAGTTAGGCCATCACAAATATCTTGCACAGCCACCAGTGATCAAAAGTTATTATGATCATTTCGCAAAATAATAATGGTAGTGAAGTTGGTAAAAAACCAAAACAATGACGTTGAATGATGACAATTTTATGACACATTTCTCTTTGGGCATAAAACTGCCCTAACTTGAAACACCAGTCAACCATAACCCACATTTCCATCATGTTTGTTCAATAAATCATAATTAAAATCCACATGGAATCAAGGATATTTATCATATGAACTTAGTTTCATGACTTAGTTACCAAGAATCTCTCAGAGGTCAGTCAATATTTCAAAATTTTTTCCATGTATGTTCCCGCCACAGAGTAAAATCACAATCTACCACACTGAGTGCCAAAAGTGCGACAACAGAGTTTAAGAGTGGCATATTGAGTAAGGATATATTTTAGGTCCTCCCTCCCAAACTTTTAAGCATGTTGCACGAGGAAACATTGTATTTATTTCCTTTTCACCATTCTTGCAGAAGATGAGATACAAGACAAACCTACCTGGCTAGGATCTTCTCTTAGTACCAAATTGTAACTACTGCATGCAACGACAAATATTATTGCTGTAACATCTGTAAGCAAAGTGAAAAGACATTGTTCAGTTACAGGCTGAAAAGGTTGTAATCTCAATTTTTAACCACAAGGCTGATGATCCTTGATCAGCTCATCACATGTTTAAACAGTACTAATTTTTTTTTTATTAACTTCATTACCAAAACTTTTCCTAATACCAATTCAAATATACTGACACTTATTTCGGATTGTACCTTACTTACAACTAGCTAATTTTAAATAATACCTCACTGAGCACAAAGCTTTGTGGTTTTTGTTGCAATTATATGTAAAGAATATTGATTTCAACCAGAGTTAGTTAGTACCAAAGCTTTCAAATGAGATACTTAAATGGACTCGTACTACAGCATTCTCAAGTTTTGGGGCTTAATTCCAATTTTGTGGAGACAACAAGATTAACAAAGAGTTTCACAGTACTTACATCAGTGATTACATCACTGTGTGAATCATAGGAAAGATCCATGGAAAGATAATGAAAATGATCATTTCAGGTTAAACCCAATTCGGAGCAATTATACCTTTGATTTTGGTGTTGTACTGCTGCATAAACCATATTTATTTGAACACTAGGTTATAAGATGCCTACCATTAAAGCACTGTATCCATTTCCTTCTTTCATCTCTTTGGCCACCCACATCAAACATGCTGTAAGGATAAAAATAGACTCCTTTAGCCGATTCCTTTCCAAATAATTTAAGCCTTTAACTCCCACGAGTGACCAAGACAGAATTTCTCCTTACAATATCAATACAATGTCAAGCAGTAAAGTGATGGGAAAGAAGAAAAATATCACTTAGGGGACTATAAGTTGATCCAATACCAAATTCTCCAAACTAACATCACAAGAACTGTATGGGAGACAGTAAGGAGAATTACTAATGAGATCTTGGGAGTGAAAGGGTTAAAACATAATCTCACGAGTAAAGTAATTGAACATTTCCTTTATTCCAGTTTACTCATTAGTAAACTTCTAGAAAATAATCATCAGATTTAAAAAGGTTCAACTAATGAATACTATAATAGAGTACACTAGGAATAACATATGCAAATCAGAGACCTTACATCAATAAACAATATAAAAAGCTTCAGAAAACTTACTGGAATTTCACTTTATCCACATTAAATCTTGTTTCAATGATTCCTGAAGTCAGAACTCGACATCTGAGCAGATCCTGGAAAATACATATTTCAGGTTAAGCAAAAATCAGAAAGCTTTTGCTATACCTTCTATTATACTCTAAAACAGTAAGTTATGGAGACACTGCACTACTCAACTGAGATTTTGACCTTTCACACCTCAAAATTAGTGCAGTTTTCTCTACGATTTCCAGGTTACTCACAATAATAATTTATTTCACAGTCAAGAGCTCCATTAGTTGGCAATCATTTCTTTCATTCTTGTGACTCTCATGTTTGATTTAGCAGCATTATTGTCAGGATGATTTAGGGGTTAAAGGGTTCAGACACCAATAAAAGAAAAGCGTGATAGTGTACCCAAGCCAAATACAGGCAATCCAGAAAATATCACGACCATGAAGTTCCTTCAAGCTTATGAAAAGAAAAATAAATAAATAAATAAAAACTACCAAAACAGAAACCCATTACAGTTTTCAGAGTTACAGCCTTCTTGTCTCAGTTTCAGTGCACCAACCTGTTCCACTGGAAGATAGTCTGGCTGTTTCACTGTGTCCACCCTGTCCAAAAAACTGGAGAGGAAAAAAAAAAAGAATGTAAATACATCCAGCCACCTTCAGGCCTTTCAATTTGCCACAATACCTTTCAAAGCAACTTTTTACTATTAAACAGACTAACAAGTCAATATTGAATTTTTCACTTGGAAAAATTCAGTTTACATAAAAGGAAAATTGATTTCTGAAGCACTCAATTGATCTCACACAGTGCATAATTATGCTTGAGTATCTCAGATATACTTTATTAAAATATGTAATTATTGAGCTATTTTAGGAATCTTGAAGATGAAAATCAATCTTCCTAAAGAAAAGTCTTCAGATTCCTTAAATGTCCAAATATTGTACACCACAAAAATTGAACTAAAAAAAGCAAAGAAAGGTGAGATAGTGGGTATACTAGTGGGTAAATGCCCTTGAGAGGAACTCATGCACCTTCTACAGGAACAATGAAAGAGATGTGGCTTTATGACAACCAGTTCCTGGTAGCCAGATCACCTCCCTTGAAATAGAGTTATGCAGTTTGCTTCCTTCACAGGTCTCAGATTTTTCCTCATTTTGTCACATTTGTATTTGAAAAAAAAATCTTTGTTCTCTTGGCATCTGGCAGTGATGACTATTAAAAGAAGACATCTTCTAGCCCCTTTGGTTTGTTGACCTCTTAAAAGCTTTGTCATCACCAAACAATATTTTAAACCAGCCCTGATTTCATATTTTAAATTTTTATAATTTTTTGGTATTTTTACCACTGTGCAGTGATAGTGGCCTGCCACCCTGACAAACAGAAACAATTGGTTTCTTTTTCAGCTGTTGGATATGATGATAAAAATAGTCTGTTGTGTTTAAATTTATTACATCAATATCAATAACAAGACGCAGGCTTCTATGGATATTGATGATTCATGCACATTGTGAATTCCCCACTGATGACGTCAAATAGGAAAAATTAATTCATCTTTTAAATTGCTGATATTAAAATATAATATACCATGGCTCTGATAGAGCATGTGGTTGTGAATCTCAACATCAAACACAAACCAACTTTCCTTTCCTTTCTCTCTAAGAAAGTCATGTATAGTGTACACAAAATTTTCCATCTACAGATCAATGATGCAGTTCAAACATTTTCTTGATTCATCATCATCATCACATCAATTTAATTTTGATTCCCTTTCCCACCAAAATCCAAAAAAAGAAAAGTGAAGTCAAACTAGTTTGTAAAATATTACACCAAGAAGAAAAATTTTGAACCACAGAAATTGTCTATTTATCAATCTATTCATAGTTCATTCATTCAGCCAATTCAAGACCATAACTACATCAAGCATGCAATAATATGTAACACTTATAGTATACAGTAAAACAAAGTAAGCAGTCACCCTTAAAACAAATTTCTCAATAAATTTCAAACTGTGACACACATAAAACTCCACAATATACCTCAGAGCTGACAGAAACCCATTTAACCCTTGATTTTCAGTCTTTTGGCAGAATACTTTAATAACAACTGGAAAGGCTCACTTCATCATAAGATTTGAAATAGAAGGAAAAAACAATAAGATATGGTTTTTAATTCAGAGTAGCCATTGCTTTTGCAAATATCATCCCACTAAAATTGCCTAACCCTTTCCACCCTAACATCAGTATACATAATCTCCAAACTGCTCTTCATACATTTCTTTAAGCGCTGACAAGGAGAATTTGATGAACAATCAAAGCTTCTTTGGGTCGCGATCATTTCCTTTATTCACAAGATTTTAATGAATGATTCAGCCATAATATTGTAAGGAGAAATTAGATGTTGGTCACTCTTACATTTAGAGGGAAATTACTCTTATTAACGTTATGTAACATCATAAGGCTGTTACATCATAGGAACTAACACTGTTTGAGTCACATAGGGCTATGATCTGACTGGTATTCGAAACACTTTCAATGTTTTTTGCTTATTTTTGTTTGATCAAAATATCTAAGAGAATAGTTGTGAAAAAAAGAGAAACACTTGGTCTTAATAAATGTTTTTTTTGTTTTTGTTTTGTTTTTTTTGAAAAAAAAGAAAAAAAAAATACATGTGAGGTGGGCTCATGAATACATTACCCATAGAGGTAGTTGGTGCTGGCATATTCAAAAAACATTTGATGAAATAAGGAATAATCATATTTTAAAGTTTGAAAAAAACAAACACAAAAAAGCAGCTTCCTCAAAAAACACCAAGGCAGATTTTGTTCACATCCTTCATGAAGATCATATTTCATTCCCAGGTCATTCCACAGAAAAACGAACACAACCACATCATCATCAGACGAAATATAACTCTTTGACCACCTCTTACACTTTTTAAATCCCCTAAAATTTACCCCTAAATGTTAAGCTGTGGCAGTTAATTATTTCTGGCACTGCACTATCCAACAACCAATACCAGAGTAAACTGCAAAGTAAGTTTTGAGCTGTTGTACTCAGTAACTACAATTTTTTTAACATGGATGTCTGTTAATTTTTTTCCTTCTATAGCCAACATTTAAATAATTATAAAACCTGAACCCAGTTTGCCATTAAACTTTTTTTCTCAGACAAATGAACCAGACAACAAACAAAGCTATTTATAGCACTAGTGAATTTCAATACCCCCACTGAGTATCAGATTCAAATTACTTCTACATTCTCACTCATATAGCAGACCCACAACCATCAGGAAAATCTAAAACACTCCTCAAGATTTGTTGAAACACCCTGCTCTCCTCTCAATAGTGCATGTTCTCAAAATGTCCAATTTTCCTGTTACTAACATAAAAAAGAGGGAAATGGTTCAACAAATGTGAAAAGGATTGTCTGTAAAATTATACCACATCGTGACAACTTAAACACAGGTGAAACAGAGACTATTTGCAGCCAAAATATTCAATAACTGTGGTTTGCTATGGGTTGTCCAAATTATACAAATTCCACTCTCATTCTTCTTCATTACCCTGAAACCACATGTACAATGACAGAAACTTTGCAAAAAAACTTTCCTTCAGGTGTAAAATGTGTGAAATTCCCACCTGACATAAATATGTTGTGAGTAAGAAAGCTGGAAGAAGTCACTTCTTGGTACAATACAGAGGTACATATTTGCTCGTGTTAAAATTTTTGTAGCCATGATTTAAATTCAAGAAATTTACCATTAGTAAAGAGCTCTACCACTAAAGTAAAGTACCATGTCTGTTTTATAACATCACATGGTTTGCCAATGGAAAACTGATCTCAAATCCAGAGTCATGATGCAGTCTCATCACAAAATATTGCTTCCATAAATCACTACTTATCGTAGAAAAATACTATTTTTGTTTCCAGGACAAATCAGGTAAGCATTATGTCAAAGGTCAATAATTCTTTCCAAGAAAAACACTCCAGAATTTCCAAATGTAGAACAAGATATAGTAGTAGTTTCCTGGGCCTTAGTAGGATGAGTAAAATATCATCTTTTTAGTAAAATATCATCTTTTTAATGTTGCCTACAGTGATGGGTTGACAGTGAAATGCCATTTCACTCTGCAGACTACCCTTGCCAAATTTTGCTAAAACACCCTGCTCCCCTCACAATGTTCAGTTTTTATAAGACTTAAACTCCCATGAGTGACCAAGACAGAATTCCTCCTCACAATCTCAATACAATATCCAGCAAACAAGTGATGAGAATAATAAAAAAAAATCAATTAGGATGTTAACAAGTTGATCTTATAGCAAATTCTCCAAAGTAACATCATACAAATTGTATGGCAGATAGTATGGAGAATTATTAATAAATCTTCATTCAGAAGTTTCAATAAAAGTGGACAACAGGCCAAATTTGCTGTCTTTATTAAAAGCAAAAATTGCAGCTTAAATTCTCTGAAACTATCAACATTTGAGTAAAGAACAAACTTCCAATGGCAGCCTGATTTCTTTGCCGTCAACTTCAAAAGTTATTAAAACCCTTAAACATTGATAAGGAGGGGAAGGAGGAAATGTTTTAACGATTATGATGAACATTACAGTTTACACCCAACACCTTAGGTGTGGCACCTACTTGTTAATAGCACAAGGTACTTTCTGGATATAGAAAAGTTTGATTAAAAGATAGAATCCAGCTATTGAGGAGATCATGTAAAGGTGATATATATATATATATATGTGTGTGTGTGTGTGTGTCTGCTGCTCATTAAACCAGAACAAGTTTTCAGTTTTAGCCTCTTCTGCAATAGTTCATTAAATTTTCCCCTTATGCAATAAGCTACAGCTAAGTCATAGATTAGTCTTAATCAACAGAAGAGACTTTTTCCATGAACTGTTTCATATCTTCTCATATTAAGCTTGCAACAACAATTAACTTTTACATATAGCAACAAAGTAGAATTGAATACTGCAACAGTGAAGTTCTAATGCGAGTAATTGCATTAGAAGCAATGCCCAAATGCATTCAGTATAATTTGATGAGGGTTTTTTCCTCATAATTCATTGATTTCCACTACAAAACAGCTTAAGAAGTACAAGAATGTTTACATCAATACCTGCACTACTGATAGCTATATAAAACAGTGACTGAACTTCAAGAAGGAAGCTGTTGAGGAATTTTTTAAAAACATTTTTGCTCTCTTTTGCTCATACATTGAAGAAACACACTAGCTACTTCCAAATGAAAACAATTTCGCTCATACACTGATAAAACAGTGCAGATCCACATTTACAGAGCCTGTTTTCTCATCTTTCTTGTGATTTTAACTCAACTGATTGAATGTAAAAACTCTACCAAGTCAAAAGAAGTCCAAATGTTTTTCTTGCTCTGACACAATATGAAGCAAACTAAATTTAGAATTTTTAAAGAAAGATTGGTTAGTTAACACTACTGAAATAATCTATTTATGATTTTTAGCAACATCTATCCTCAGTAAATTGTAGCAAACAACAAACAAACAAGTAAACAATCAGGGTAAATAACCATCCATATTCAATGGTAAAAACAAGATGAATCTAAATACCCAGAATATGAAAACATTTCTTTTGGCATGTCTTAGTTTAAATTATATAAAAGAATATTCCCTTTGCATACTATCAGAAATAGAACTTAGGTGAGCTTCAAAACAATCTTAGCTTTTACCTACACAGAGAATTATCTAGCACTAAAAAGACAAAATGGTTTGATGTTTACAACAACACAAGTCTATATGAAAAAATATCCCTTCAATTTGAGCAAAGTACTATTGTAACCACTAGAAAATATGCCTCTTAACCTTTACTACACATATATATATATATATGAAAAAATGTTTTACACATTTCCACTATGAAATTATTTTACCTTATATACATCAATTTAAAAAAAAATTTGTTCTAACCTAAGCATTTCTATTAGTGGATGGGGAAAACATTCAGCATCAACGAATAGTAGCCCTCACAAAAAAAGAATGAGACTGAGGGATCGATGATATAACTCGAAACATGCAGATGTCTACTTGCAAGTGAAATGTCAAGATCCAACAATGTTTCTCTCTTGTGAGTGAGCAAATGCTTTGAATCTGGCAAACAAGAATATGCTGTTGATCTATTTCTGCCGAGGAGACACACGAATAGACAGCCAAACACTTCCAGACCTCATTTCAATCGAACCTGCCTGAGTCTGTATGTTTGATCTAAAAATAGGATTCATGTGAATGACCCTACCTACAGGCAGTGATCCGTTTTCGTGAAGAATTCTTCTTCTGTCTGGTCAGTTCGAATTATAATTCAAAATACCACTTTTTGAGAATGTTAGACGGTTTATACGTTTTCAATACGCCACCTTCACAATTATTACGGATACAGCATGTACAGATCCGCTCGAAATGCTATATTCCGTAGCCATTGATGAAATGAAATCGACAAAAAAATAAATTTCGATCGGTGAGTTCGTGCTAAGATCATTTGGTACTTCAACAAAGATCTTATTCTCTGCTCAACGGTCATTTAACCAGAAACATTAGATGCTATTTTATCAACAATAAAACCTAGCGTAATAAATTCGGAAAACTGCGAGTTTCTCTATCATTGAGCTGTCTTAGTTTCTGCATGGAAACCAATTCAAAACAAAGTTGGCTGAGAAATGGTTCACAGTTTTCATGACAGAGAACCGGTACTTTCATAATTTTTCCATTCCAAAACCACAGACTACGTATTCCAAATTACGGTAAAAATTTCTAGCGGAGTGCATTCAATAAAACTGGAAGCATATGTATCATTCTATCTAGGTTTCGTATAGCGATCACAACGTTTCTTCCCTATAGAGGTACATCCCATCAGAAATCGGCTTTCAAATATTATCCTTTAGTTTATCATTTGACAGCCCGACCGCCAAGAATATCTACGAAACCGTTTACCAACTACTTAAACGGCATCAAAATCATTATGGATAAAAACCATGAGACGCCGAAGCGTACCGGACACAAAACACAAGTCCAAGTAAAGGAAACACTCTCCGTTCGCATATGGCTTCTTACTCACAACGGTTCGCACAACAGCGTGACAGAGGTTTTCGAACATAAAATCACGATTTTATCGCTTCTAAAAACCGCTAGAAAATAAATAATCCTTAGCGAACATGCTTACACGGAATTAAAAGGAAACATTCCTCACTGGCAGAAAATAACATCTAAGAAGTTCTATGACCACGAATAATAATTCTTTTCCAGCCATTTTGTCGGGGCTACTTAGTTTGTAAACACTGCCATCTTCCTAAAACCCCTTGGCTACGTTGAACACTCGACGAAGACTATAAAAATAGCTCAGTAAGCGCATTTTCTACCAAACAAAGCGAGAAAACGCGCTTGTGAAGCGAACATATCACAGAGATGACAAAATATATGAGTATTTCAACGTCTTGACCATGTAAAAAGCCCAGAAGATGTTATAATAAATAGACTTACTATTGCGCACAGTCGATAAGTTGATACTCATTCGATCGTTCGAAGCATTCGAGCACACCCGCATCTTGCCATAATATCTTTGTGTGTTCATAGAACTCCTAAAAAAAAGAAATAGCGAAAAGTTACATAAATCCGGGCCAAGAAAGGCAGCACAAGACGAAAACACATTTATGTTTGTTCAAAGCGCTCGACTGCCCTCTGCTCAAACTTCTGGTTTCCATAATTAGAAATGTGTACTAAACTACGAGCGAAACCGCTCGTTTAAAACTTGATCTATCGAAATTTACTTTCGATGCTTTCACCGTTCTTTTACAGAGAAACTAAACTACTAAAGATAACGATTATAGCAAAATATCATCTCGCCTTACCGGGGGATAGTCGAAGTCTGGCGTCGTGGCCACTTCATGCAAGTAGTCGATTCTGAACTGATTATTAGGGTTAGCTAACCTCACCGGCGGAGTTAACGTCGGCATAGCCCCTGTAATGGTCTAAAACACAAGAATTATGTATCTTACAAAAAAATAGAAGCGAAAGGAATCGAAAAAAGCCGTGAAATCGCAACGAATCGCGAGCTAAATGTGGGTGGTAGATTGTAAATAGGCTAGTCTTACCAATATTGCATCTCTAATATTCTTCTTTATATCTTCTATTTTTTGCCTCTTTTCCCTGTGAGAAACGAAGCAAAGACGGAGATTAACACAAGACGTCCATTATGAATAATTCTTGCTCGATCGGCGCTAGCTTGCCTTCCTCACTCTTAATAATTTGTATGCTAAACAACTGTGACAGAATAGGTGGACACTCACTGCTCCGTAAAACCATGTACGTCGTGTAAAATCCTCATTTGCTTGACGATCGTGCTCTTTCCAGATTCTCCAGCCCCTTGGAGGTTAGAAATAACACTTATTACTTATTCGATCATAACCAAAATCAACCACTTTCAAACCCGATTACTACAGCCATTTACCAAGTAAGAGGAGACGATGAGTAGCTCGGTATGCAATTTTATCATCTCGGAGTTGCTTTTCGATCTTTTTGTTGGTACTTTTCTGATGCCTTTTCGTTTCTTGTTCCTCATCGGTAATGTTGTTGCCGAAACACCCCATCGCACAGAAGTGCGATTCCAGAACGAGGAAAACGCCCCCGTTGTACCACCAAATAAAAAGTTTCTTTTTACGAAGATGAAAGCAGCAAGTTTGGAACTAGCTTGTGGACAGAGCAACACGGCTCAACTTATGACAATCCAAACAGGGTGTGACAATAGCACGCTTAGCTTTTTGGGATATCTGTACACTAGTTAGCAGAGTAAGTCTGGTGACGAATATGACGTCAACGGCGAGAACATACTGGTTTTGACGCAACCGTGACGTCACTAAACGGGGATTTTCGCACTAAACGAAGCTCTTACCGTCGATTTTCGCTTTTATGGTGGTTGAATAGCACTAAAAGAAATTATAATACTCAATCTAACAGCAATCTTTAAACATTCTTACGCATGGAAACGTCGAAGTACTTTATCTATCACTGGCTACTCGCGATCGCGGCAAGCTTTTTAAACACTACGCCTAAGTATTGATTTAATTAATTTTGCAACAATATGTAACGGTCTGTTAGAACAACTTCACCACAAGAATCACCATATAAAGGGAGCTCTTTTGTGTCACTTATTAGCTATTTTACGCGTGTATTATATTGAGCACTTGAGGTAGCGTTTTCTTGCGAAAAATTTCGTCATAGTTCCAAGATTGCGTAGTTAACCAACTAAAAACGTCATTGAGATGATTTTTCCGCAATGTCTAAAAAATCTGACAGAAAAGAAAACTTTCTATATAACGGGAATTTGGTTGAAGGGAAAAATTACAAACTACGTAACCTGTCGAGGTTTAAGTGAAATATGCATTAGAGCACGAAGAATGAAGGGAATTCTTCTTTAAAAACTAACGAGACAGGGTCTGAAAATGTAACTGATCTTCAGCCGTCCAACACTACAGGGCGTTTCTTTCCGATTAGATGATTCAGTGAGGACAGTAATGGGTATCTAGGACTACCCGTGGGTTATAACAGTGGGGACTGTGATGCACCGAGGCTGCCTATCTAGAGCCACACTGGCCCTGAGTATGTCAAGAACACCTGGTTTATTGAAGAGTGGGCGACAAGCACAAATCGATCTAGAACTCAGCCGGTAATCTTCCACGATAAAACTGAAAGTTGACAGTCTGAGTAATTAATTTGTTGTACGTTTCATAGCCATGCAAATAAACTTTTATTTGCATTTTTCAAAAAAAAAATTGAAACACGTTTATCATCATAGTTGTTTAAAGTATTTTCATCAATTTTATAACGACCAAAGCTCACTCAGGCTCTCTCAACTTGATCCCAGAACAGTGCTCTGAGAGGAGGCCGGAAGACTGGGTAAGACTACTTTCCTGTCGATCTAGCCTAGCGAGTGTTCTGCGTTGAAGGAAAGCATCTACTCGGTAAGCGGAACAAAAGTGTTTTTCATTTGACAGGGCGAAACTGAGTCTGAGAAAATGATACATGAGAGGAAGGCCTCAATCATCCGCAAAGAACGATCGAACAGACTTCTCCTCGCTACCTCCGGCGAAATTTTAAATAAAATTCGATGGCTCAATTATTATCATGTCATTTCCAGGGTTAGTGAAGTGGAGTGGTTGAGGGTTTGGAGGATAAGAATTTTCCTTCAGGTAGGAGCAATCGATATCTGGAAACAGTGTAAAAATGCCAAGTACTTCAAAGTGGCTAAAACGGACCCTTTTTCTCTACTTTCAAATAGTCCTAGCTTTCCGCTTTTGCGGCTTTTAGCCAGTACGGATGGCGCGTGGGTTAAGTGGAGTCGTATGGAGCAAGAGAGCATCAAATAGATTTAATGCTCTCTAACGCAAAGCGAGAAGAGCATGTTTTATTTCATTTCACCTTCAGTAATGCCACATAAGAATAGTATTCAAATTTCAGTTTAGAAGAGAAAAATGCAGGACTGAAGAAATTACCAAACGCCTATATTTTAATAATTTTAGAAACTCTGCCATTGGTGCTGAAAAATTTCCCTGATTAGCTCGGGGGACTTTTCTATACATAGACTTCTATTTATATGATGAAATTACACGCAACACTTAGGCAGATAAAACGGACATGAATCGAGTCGCACAGTCTTCACACTACCTCTTTAAGATCTGCAGTTGTTACTGATTCTTTATAGCAACTTGAAGTAATGTGTATGTTGTTTGGCATAGAGAAGTAATTGGCACATCTTCCGGCAGGGTGTCTCGCGCAAGTGTCTCGTTTGTGTATGAAAGTATACAATATTTTTTTCTCGTAAAATAGAAAAAATCCTTTTGTCAACATCAAAATGGGTCTAACATATCCAGGCCTCTTTCACACCCTTCTCTCTCTGTATTACGCCCGAAATAGCGAAGATTATGATAATTTATTACTGCCTTTCACTCGAATTTGGCGCTTCTCGGGAGTCATTGTAAACTTATTCAAGATATCTCGAAACTTGACTCATCAGGGTCGAACCAAACTTCTGGGCTTTTTCCCAAGAGGTTCGAGAAAACTCATTATAAAAAGAAAACGCGCAACCAATCAAACTAAGAGAATGAGGTCTCATCGTCTAAATCAAAAATTTTCCGCGTTCATAGCTCGGGTAAAAAGCAAGTGATATTACTCAAGGAAGTATGTCACACATTTGGAAAATTTTAGAAAAAAATCTTAAAGCTCTTCATCTACAATCCGCGTTGATTTGAGTTCCTCATTCTTGTCCTTCCTTGTTCTCATTTGGTATTACCTTCCTCTGTTTGACCGCCACGGTAAACTGAAATTCAAAGTTTCCCTTTCAATCAACTATAATTTTTCAATGACTATAAAAACAACGATGACGTAACGTTTTTAACATTGAAGAGATCGCCGAGTCAGATTTTGAACAAGCTACAGAAAAAGTACACCGAGACCGCGATCATTTTTTCTTTAAAATAGGCTTCAGAACGTTGCATGTATAACCTTGTGCGTTTAAGAGCAAGTTCTTAAGTCTTTACAATCACCGAGGGGAAACATTGCATAACCTGTCATTGTAATACATGCCAAATGCACTTAGAGATACGCGTAATCTGGAGGACCGTTCCACAATCTTTGCGGTCAATAAACTAGACCGAAAAAAAATGAGTCCACCTCCATCTTGAAGTTCATTCATTCGGGTCACTTTTAAAGAATTCTGATGTAATTTGGATTTAATTCTTGAGAAAAGCGCTGTCGATGACTTTGATACAAACTTTTTCCTGATAATACACAATTTGAATGGCAGACATTTGTGACTGCTCTTCTAAAATTGGAGTGGATTCAAATGAAACAAAAATGATGTGCATGTCAGATGTACAAGAAAGGCGTTTCAGAGCCAAACCAGGGTCAAAATAATCGAAAACTAGATAAGATTCAAACCGAAATACGAGAAGTCACCGCAGTCAGTCGCGCGAGTGACAAATTTACACACAGTTCTAAAAATAAGCCCTGAAGACAAAAGAAATTAAAATATCAATAGCACAACCTCCATAATCATGACATTTAGTTAAAATATCGGGGTCTTTTGTTTAATAAGTGCTCAATTGAATCCGAAAGTCTAAAAGCGGTTGCGAAACAGTTCCGCAGAAGGAGAACTTGGCACGCGTTCTGAATTTCGGTTTCTTAGATGCTTGATCCAAATTTATCGACATAATTATTCATTCGTGTATATTTTGCGGTTCTACACAAAAACGCCTGTATTTCCTTTTCAGCGAATAAGGAAACTAACTTGTGTTTATTATTTAACCTTATCTCTATTTTCGGTTTTTTGTTTGAACAGCAAGTGCTAAATATAGAAATATAAATTTAAGTCCTCGAATTGTAAACATTATCCCGTAGCGTCGACAATCACGTTTGTAAAAAGCCTCGATTAACGGCGCTTACATGTCTTCGAACGATTATTGCAAAATATATTTCGTAAACAAAACTCGATTGACAAAAAAAATTCATAAAACAATAATTTTCCGTATAAAGTTTGCGAGGAAATGGTTCAACTTAAATTCTTTACTCAGCAAGGGTTAAAATTCGGCTGCCTTTTTTTAAACCCGTTGGAAGTGTTTTGAATTATCAGCTCATGAGGTTCACAGAATCTTCGCTCTGATTTCGGTTCTTTTTTTTGGCAATAAAGATAAAACTGAGCAACAAAGAATCCAACCATTATTACTGGCCCGAGAAGTTCGGTAGTTGTTGAACAGATTAAAAGTGTGACATGATTGTTTTCAGTATTGTGCAATGCTGTTTGGAAATCTAAAGTAGTTGTTTATTTTAAGTTTCGCAACCATGACGATCGATACCTAATGAAAGCTCTGAACAACTTTTTAATTCGTGACGACAACCCGTCAATTGATTTATTTTTGCTTTTTCTCTTTAAAGAGCATTGTCTACAGTATTTAGAAGAAATAACCTGCTCAATTAATTTTGCACAAAAGTGATTGCCCAGCATCGGTCATTGCAGATCATTGCACGGATTTCAAAAGATTCTTGCCGAGTGACCCAGTTTTAGCATGTGTAGATGATTGGCGATCTTTTCGTGGAGCACGAAACATTCGAAACAGCCGAAGCAAGAAAGCTGACTTCAGAGGAGGAAAAGGAATACAACCTGTCTTCATTTACCAAACCATGAAGATAGCAGTGAAGAATTGAATGCGCAGGAATACCTGCCTTATTAGATGACTTTTGATCAAGTGCCTGATTGAGTGTCAAAAGCACTTTCTCAAACTAAACTTCCAAAAAATGTCTGGAAGATATGAAATTTAAGTTCAACGTCATCTAAGACTTTGTCTCTACGAAGGACTCTCCCGCCTACAGGGATCAAAAGATTCATGTTGGCCACGTTAATTCCTTAGCTCCCTGAGGCAATTCAAATCTTCTGCTCTCGGTTCGTCCAATTCTCTTTAAACTATACCTTGTTGCTTGAAATTTCAGTTTTGCCAGATTCAAACTTTTTCTTCATTCCAATAAAAAAGCCTGGTACCGAAAAAAATCCTTGGCAAAAAACGACCTGAGTATATGCACCTCCCAATATCTTTTGTAGACGACCCACACAAATTCGAGGGCTTTCAGCGATCTCTTTGGACATTCTGAAGATTTCCGTGAGCCTCACGAAGAGTTCCCTGAACTTAATCCCCGTGTTCCCTCTTTTTGGTGGAAAGCGCAACCGATTGCCCAATTTTCGAAAATCTATTAGTTAAAGCCCGACAAATAATTTTGTTGGAAATTTTATTGATCTGCGAACAGGAACTGCATAATTTTGGACTAGAGACAGTCTATACTCAAGCGCGCTGAAGTAGTGGATTAATATTATTTTAGAAAACACGGTACAGCTACTTAAAAGAAGCAGATCTCCCTCTCAATAAAGGGGAGGGTAGTTATTGGGTAAAAAGTTCAATGGTGGAGCGCTCCATTCTGTTCGATTGTTTGAAGCAATTCGCACCTTTGGTGTAAGTAATTTTATTGCGATTAAACGCTGTTTACGTAACGTACACTGAAATTTCGCCGGAAGGTCGCGTAATTCTCTAATTTTTCAATCCCAGTTTCTCGCGGTCTCCGTCTGTCATACTGGGGCGAGCTATTGCACGTTCCACCTGTTCCTTAGTGAGAAATGCCAGTTGTCATGGAAACTTTTCCCTTAAAAATATTCCTGCTTTTCCACAAAACCAGCTGGAAGTTGCAAGGCTTCTGAATTCTTAATTGCCTGTTTCTATTTTTACTTTCACTATTTCTTAAATTAAGGCACCTTTACTATTTTTAGCTCGAACGGGTTAAGCTGTTTTGCTCTGACTTCTAAATATTTCATGCAAACTACCTCTAGGTGTTGTCAAAATTTCTATTTTTACCGAAGAATATCACTTTTGAGCTGGAAATTTCCATTTGCCGTGAATTTCCTGCTATTGAAATGCAGCTTCGTTTTAACTGACGACTTCGATAGTTTCCCTTCGACCGAGTTATTAGTAGTGAACTTCGTAAACCTTCGCCCGCTACTTCTAAAAATAAACACATCTTATCATTAGGTTTACCAATTTAGACCCACAAGAAAAACATAAACCATCTGAATCCTAGTTTAGTCATGAGAAGTGAGACCTAAATATGCTTTTTCTCTGGGTTTCCATTTGTCATGAATGAAATAACCTCGAAAAAATTAGAATTCGTGGAAATAAGTTCTTTGCAGTCAACGAGCTGTAAATTCTTAGAAGGAAGCAGAAATCAAGAATTCAAATAAAAAAACCTCTTCGATTTCTCTCTCAGCTTCTACTGTGTAAATTTTAACCAAATCCTTGGAACTATTGAGACTTAATAAGACAGAAAAGCATGTATGCATGGCACCGATGAAAAGAAAACGAAGAGAAAACTCCTCTTCTAAGAAATGCAAATTTGTGTAGTTCAGTCGAGAGGGACCAGTGAAGGATCTCTGCTGAGAAAGTGTGAGTCAGCGGCGTTTCACTTAAGAGAAATGTGAAAGCGAGGCTCTAAAACAAACATGGCGGATTTTGCGGATTCGAATCCTATACCGTGAGATGGGCTGTAAATGCTCAAAGTTTTGTCGACGAACTCGAAATGAAACAAAGAAAACTACAGGAATCGAGATTAAGGGGACTGGTAGTGGGAGAAATGATGAAAGAAATCAAGAGTCAGGTTCAGAGCTCGAAGAGCGCCAACCTTTAACCGTATGTGCGGAAGATCAAGAAGCGAAAAACAGACTTACTCAAGTCGGAATAAATGAAGAAATTGCGAACGAGCTTCTACTATTGCGTGGAAAAGGTTCTCTCAAGACCACCAGAGATATTGTTGCTGTTTTGGAAAAATATAATGCGGACTACAAAGTTGCAATTGAGCAGCTGGATAGCAACACTCTTGTTAGAGTGAACTCTTTGGGTAATCTTAGTGTTGAAAAGGTCGAGAAAAAAGGTATTTTTAGTTTTAAAAGCGTTGAGGAAAAAGGATTTGTGGATTCGGAGGAGAAAATAGATATAAACACAGCATCTGTGGAGCTTTTAGAGTCTATAAAAGGCATCGGATCAATTCTTGCTGGAAGGATTGTAGCACACAGAGAAGAACATGGCCCATTTGCTGAGCTAGGAGACATTGTTTCAGTCAGAGGAGTGAGCAAAAAACTTTTGGACAATGTAATGTCACAAGTGACCGTTACATCAGCAAAGATTCCTAAGATCCCCAAAATTACTCCCTACTTAATTAATAACAATACCTTGCGGATTGCATCATGGAATTTGCAGTCCTTTAGTTCTGATAAAGCAGATAATGCTGGAGTTAAAGAGGTTATCTGTTGTACAGTTTTAGAGAATGGGTAAGTAATCTGGAGAAAATGTAAGAAACCATGTAGAATTTCTGAAACATGGCATTGCTGCAAGGTAAGGGAAGTCAGTTGTGTGGCACTCACACAATATTTCTCAGTGAAGTTTGGTTTCCCAAAAATATATAGCATAGTGACCCAGGCTCCAAGCTCAAACAATGAGCTTTCAGTCCAGCATTTAGTGTACTCTTCTTTACATGAAAGCATATTTTAAACTTCCTAATTAGGTGATTCTTAATTAATGTGAGCAACAGATGAATAGCTCAAAACACAATGTTTCTTCCCTTCTTTAATTTGAAAGCCATTAGCTTTGCACCAGAGGAATACCCATTTGTAAGCATACTTTTTCCGCCAGCCGTAACAGATATTTTGGAAATGTAGTTCTAAATCTCTTGATAGATGATTGCACTGTGGCCTATGCCACCAAACAACTCCCTTTGGAAATCTACCAATTGTTGATTATTTCCTTGTTTGCTGGAAATCATATTTAGTGCAAAGATCTAATGTTTAACTTTTCTTTCACTTCTATAGACTTGATATACTTGCTATCCAAGAGATTGGTGACACTAATGCTTTGATTAAGGTAAAATAGGAATGTTTTTGTGAGGAAAAAATATATTTAAATTACAGAGATGGAGGGAGTGTTGATCTGTGATGCTTAAACTTTCATTTTCGTCTGCAGATCAAAGATGAACTGAACAGCCCAACAAGTGAAACTGTAAAGACCTTGAAAACTGTTGAACAGCACTGGGAATGTTGCATTTCAGATATTTCAGGCAAAATGTTTCGGGTACTGCAAATTTTCTTGTAGGCTGTCATAACCTTTACACAAGTATTTTGGTCTACCAATGTTTGAACAAACAGGGTACAGGAAAAATGTACCATGAGTGTTCACTTGACAAATCTCTTTTCAAAAAAATGGAATGTTTATAACAGAAGTTTTTGAGCAAAGAGATATGTTGTGAACAGCAAAATTGATAGTCCTAGATGATGTGACAAGGGTCAGAATCCTGTGAGGAAGTTGTTGATAGTTAAGGGAAATTCTCTCAGCAGGTGTGAATCTGTAATGGATGTCATTGACTAGCTTTTTTTTTGTTTTTATTTGCTAATGAACATATTGAGAGACAGAATTCTTGTGTTTTTTTAGCAAAATCAGTCTAGTAATTCTGCCTTTGAGCTTTCCTTAAATTTTCTTTTTAGTTTCATACTCTGTGACACTCTCATAAGTGTTACCTAGATAAAGAATTGTAGGCACCTTTTGATGTGAAAATATTATCAGTTCTTTTTGTGTAAGTAAAAACATGATTTCAAGTGCAAGTTGGTGTTGATCAGCACAAGTAAATTTGTCAAAGACAACAAAAATTTGCACAAGCTGGTGAGGCAAGTGCAATTTGTGGTCTTTGAAAAACCCTAACCCAAGTGCATTTTACACCAAATTGCAAGATAAATCATGTTATTAATTATTAAAAATGTACATGAAAAAATGTCACGGAGAGTCAATACTGATGAAATTTTGAAAGTGTGTGCGCACTATTTGTAATTTGCACCTGTTTAACAACTTTGCACTTGTGTTACATGAGAGTGCACTTGTTTTCAGCCAATCAGAAGTGCGTAATTTCTTTATGTACATTATTAGAAATTTGCAAAAACTTGCTGATTTAAGGAAATAAGGCTATTAACCATCTAAGGGAAAACAATTGAGTCGTCAAAGCAGGATTGATTGAAATGTTAAGGAACAGCATATGAAATAAATTTGAAGTCACTGAATGATTTTGCACCTGCAAATGTGTTTTTAAAAATTACTGATCAACTGTGGCATCTAGGTTTTGAAATATCTCTTTATATATACTCTGTTTTGGAGGTAATAGTTATTCCATAATGTTATAGAGACATTCTTCTTGTTTTAGTCAGTGGAATACAATGGATTTTTGTGGAATGCAGCAAGGGGTATTAGCTTAAAGAGCTCTGCACTTCTCGAGAAACCTAAGGGGGGCCAAAAGCAGTTTGCCAGGAGGCCATACCTTGGATTTTTTAAGGTACTTTACTAATTTATCAGTGTAATTTGGTATTATCAACTGAGTTGATAACATAAATTGGCCACTGTCAACAGTTTTAAAGCTGTCTTTTAAGTGTTAGCCTTTGCACAGGACGAAATCACATGTTTCCGTATTTCTGAAACGTGGCGGAAACATGCAACTCCATGTTTCCGTTATGTTTAACATGCACAAAAAATGGTCCGGTTCCATTGTATACGCAGCAACGGAAACGCAAGAAAACGTCACGAAACCGGTAACGGAAACACAGGTTATCCGTCGTGTTTCCAGAACGGTTTAACATGTTTCTGCCACGTTTCCGTTTACGGATTCTTGCAATTTCGTCCTGTGTTGGTTGTTTGCTCTGAAGAAGGGCTAATGCTCCAAATGTCAGCTTTCAAACTCTTCACAGTGGCCATTTACATTATCAGCTCAGTTGATAATACTAAATGACCCTGTTATACTCTCCCACCTTTGCAGCACCACAGATTCCTTAGAAACTTAACCCCTTTATTCATTTACCAATTTATGTCTAGATATTTCCAATCACAATTTTTACTTGTGTATCTCGCTGAGTTAGCATAAGTATTTTTTGCTTGTATTTGACTCAATCAGTCATTGGGTTAAAGCCTGATCTTATGGGTACATTCAATCACAAAAACTTGGGGTTTGGTTTTAAATCAGATCATGATTTTTATCAAGGTCAGACTTACCTAGTACTGGTAACTTAGCCCCTGCATAATACGCTCTGCCTAGGCTTTGTTTTGTTCTCATTTTTCTGTTATTTTTTTTGGCAATGACTTTTGTAGAAACAAGGAGTTAAATGAAATGAGTCTAAACAGTTATTAACAATGTTCTGTTAGCTTTTATTTTATATCTTTCTCAGGAGGTTACAATAAGCCTTAGATTGTTTTATCTAGTTTTTTTAGGCTTTTGTCTAAAATTGTTAAATAAGGGCAATTGAGAAAATGATCATTATTAATTAATCATAATCTTTTACCCACGTTATTTCCATAGGCCAAGAAATTTGATTTTGTTCTCGTCAGTGTCCACTTAAAAGCAGCAGGACTAGGGAATTCTGACTTAGAGAGACTCAAGGTGAATGAAACTGTTACTTAAATGACTCTGAGGTGAAGGAGGTAACTGCAATGATTGTACTTTTCTATAAATCCTTCAAAAAATTGAAATATTAAATAGAATAAGAAAGATGATTGATTTTGAACCTAGTCATGAAATGACAAAAGGTATCACTTTTATGGAAGAAAGGATTGAGTATCCCTAGAGGATTAGAACCCCAGTCCATTGGATTCTGCATTCCGATGCTCAACCACTTTGCAACACAGAAATCAATGGTGGGTTGGGCCATCATTAGTTCCTGGTTGCTGTTAAGCCAATGTAATTGTTTGAGTAAATGGAAGAAGAGAGATGGTAAAGTTTGAATTTCATCATGAAATGAAGATATCTGTTACTTGTCATGTTATTGTTACCCTGATCTTTCTTCTTCATTATGCTCACCTTTCCTGTCCCAACTATCCACAAACCCTGCAAATCTCCTATCACTAGGAAATGCAGCTACTAAATGCCATGGCTTGCCACTGAGTTCTGTTTGATGCAGTGCAAGGCATCAGAAGCTTGAACCCTTGTGCAGGTGTCAGTGTTTATTTCACAATGCTAACAACAATCAATATTGGTCGGTGATTCTGATATCAACATGTGATTTTTGGTTCTTGTGATATTTGATTGTAGGAAGAACTTGCTAGAGTTCCTGCGTTGATAACAGCATTACAATCTCATATCCCAGGTAATGGTTTTGTTTTGTCTTGTTGAGCACCAGGAACATGTAGTTGGTTCATTGGTAACCTGGCTACAACTGTCTCCTCCCCACAAAGATAATTATTGGAGGGCTGGGAGTGGCTAAACACAATCTAATATTCTGAGATTTGAGAGCAAGTTTAACCCTTTTTTTTTAGGGGTGATGGTTTCTTGAATTTTCCTTTTTTTAGACATGGTGAAATAGACAGTGTAGAGTTCTCACAATAACTATTTGAGCAATTTTCATTTGATTGTTGAAAGTAATTCACAGTTGCTTTGGTTTCGCATGACTTTGCTATGTGATTGGTTCTGAAAACTTGTGCACAGTACCAATAAATCAAATCCAAGACAAAAACCAAGCGTAATTTGGTCTATGGTGTTTTCCATGCTTTAAGTAATCTGATTTTTTCACTACACATTCTTATCATCTTCTTTTGTAATATTCCCTTTCTGTTGATTTGCTGTTGCGATTACTTAGGTTTTAGTGTCATGCAACTCAATTGCAATGCACTCTATCAGCAGTTAAGGGGATATTTGGAAATAGAATAAGGGATATGGTAAGTTTTGGGTAATTGTGAAGAAGAGCTCCCCAAAAAACCTGTCGGCCGACAGTCGGCCGACAGTTGGCCGTCTGTCGACCGACAGTCGGCCGACAGTTGCCCGTCTGTCGGCCGACAGACGGCCGACAGGTTTTGCCTGAAATATAGGCTACCTGTCGGCCGACTGTTGGTAATGTGTCGGTAACCTGTCGGTAGCTTGTCGGTAGCTTGTCCGTGAAACGTTAACACAAACGTTGACAATTATTTTATTACTTAACATAACGAGTAAAAAGATTCACAGTTGTATCATTTATTAAACTTGAAATTGGAAATAGCAATTCATCCCAAACCTGCAAGATAGATTACGATGCTAGCAACAAATACATACATACATACATACTTAACATACCATAAGAGGCCGCGTTGCATTGTTGGGCGATTTGAACGAAAGTGTTTGTATTGATACGTAGCTTATGGTTTTCAGAGTTTTTGGCCGAGCTTTCTATTAAATTATCTTCCCATGTTATTCTTAGATTGTCTGGTGTGTTGTAAATTACGCAAGTGATATATCCTATACGCATCTGATAACATTTTGGAAGAAACGTTTCTTTACATACTACCAACTTTGCCGTCGATCGGTAACATTTTGGAAGAAACGTTTCTTTACATACTACCAACTTTGCCGTCGATCGGTAAGTAGGTGAAGTCTGTCGAGTCATACATCACCATTACGGATTGTTATGTCACGTTAACTGTTCGTTTTTAACACAATTTTTCTTTTTTCTTAACCTGTCGGTAGACTGTCGGCCGACTGTCGGTCAACTGTCGGCCGACAGGTTTTTTGGGGAGCTCTTCTTCACAATTACCAAGTTTTGAGCTCGGTAGAGAAATAGAAAAAGATGTTTTTCGTCTTGTCATTAGTGCAGGACAAAGAAAAAATTGTGAGTCCCCATGAGGAATTGAACCTTTCAGTCTCTGTGGCTCAGTGGTAGAGCATCGGAGCACAGAACCCGAAGGTCTGAGGTTCAATTCCTCATAGGAATTTTTTCTTTGTCCCACGCTCGTAACAAGACGAAAAACATCTTTCTCTAAGGGTATATTGTTTTGATATGCTGTCCTTTTCTCTGGACTGGTTAGCAGAGAAACACGTTACAACTTGGGGGAACTATCGTTCAGATTAAGGGAGACGTTGGCTAAAATATTGTTACACTTTACCTTGTTTACCATGTCCTCAACAAAAATATCACTTTTCTGCGTGGTCATTGTCCTATTAACGAATAGGTTTTCTTTCTCACTGTCATCTGTAGGAGAGAAAGACATGATGGTTCTTGGAGATTTTAACCTTGGACCAGATCTAGATATGGAAGGTAAAAGTTTAATTTAGTCTCTGATGTTAAACTGTTTCCTTTAACCGATTACCTCTTAACATCAGTATGCATATTCTCCTTACTACTCCCCAGACATTTCTAAGGGTTCTTATAGGGAGAATGTGTTCAATAATCAAGAGCTTCTTTAGTTGGTGATCATCTCATTCATTCTCATGACCTTAATGTTTGATTCAGGGATGATGTTTTAAGGAGAAATTAGATGCTAGTCACTCTTAGGGGCCAAAGGGTTAACGTGTATTTTGTCCATTTGCTGCGCCTCACGTGCCACTTTTTTTGTTCTTAACTCGTTTTGACGTCATCTGTGATATGCTACTGAGCATGCCCGGTAACATAGAGTTCTTTCGTTAACTTGGTGTGGTTCCTCTGATCTCACTGTCAACGTGTTGAATTTTACTAATATGTAAGTCTTACCTTTTTGGCAGAATTTGATGCCATGCGGGAAGGCGGGCTTGCTAATTTGATTTCAGCGTCCACTTTCACCAACATAAGCACCAAAAACATGGAAGGATCCAAGAATTATGATAACATCTGGATCAGCAAGCATGCTAAATCAAACCATTTTACTGGGAAGTCAGGTAATGTCGTCATATTGCGATGTGAACACCAGTCTAACCCTTTCGTTTCCCAAGTTTAGAGAGAAAATTATCCTTAACTATCTATTTCATGTATCTCTTTGTCGGCTTGTCACTGTTGAGAAATTTGTTGTTACGTCTAGAGAGTAGAGGTGGCAGTTTGGTTGTTTTCACTTTGAGTTCTCGTTGGCTTTTGGAGATTGTTTTTTCTTCTGGTTGGTCCGTTGTGATTACTTTGGTATTAGTTTCACGACAAAATCGAAAGGCCCTCTGGAATCGACCTTTGTTTGAGTTAGTCTAATGTCAGCCCCTTCTTTCGTAAAGTAATCCTTTGCATGAGAAAGAAAAGATCAGCGGAAAAAAAAAACGTCTCAGAGCTTACACGCGATGACTCGCGTGATGGAGAGATATTACCTGTAGTCTTTAGTGAAGGCGGAAGCAATCTAGGTCTGTCTTTCTTTTTGCGTTCTTTTTAGGAGTGATCAGGGAGCGTCTCACCCACCCCTCCATACCTGATGGTCGGTGGAGCTGGAATGGTGTCGTCTCCGATCATTGTCCGGTTTGGGCCGAGTTCTATTGCGATCGAGATTTCGACGACACCGAAGGCCTTGTGAGTGTCGAGGACATCGCTATTGATGGAAAGGAAATTATCGACTAATGCGAGTTATATTATCAGAAAAAAAACTGCAATGTAAGATAGACTTTTTAAAATTTAATATACTACGAAAGATGGAACAACAAGATCGGAGTTCCTGTGTTTAAATGAACGCCACACAAACGCACAACTGATCGGTTACTCTGCCTCTAAGGTGCAAAGTAACTTAAAGGCATAGTAACTGACGAGATCACATAATTCACTAGCTTCTTGCGCACTGCTATGGTCAGTAGTATCGAAAGAAGCGTGTTTTACAAAGCAGAATAGGGAAGCGTGAAATTTCTTTTCCACCAAGTAACATGTAATGTTTCCAGTATCGGCTAGGTCTCCTGTATCTTACTTTACCTGTTTATCTTCTTCATTTATGAACTCTTGATATTTTAAGGTAGCCTGATAACAACCTTCAACTGGCAGGATAACAGTACCACGAAAAATATTAACAAATGACTTTTTTAACATTATGATTGACGTTCTCATACAAAGCGAGATAAACATGACGAAAATCGCGCTGATCTTTTGAAGTTTACTGCCACGAATTCCGTTTCCTTTGTATTTTTTTTCCTCTGAGTGTTCCTTTTTAATTGTTTCCATAGTTTTCAGTCATTTTTATGCCATATTCATCTTAGCTCAGCGAACAGTTACTCTACTTGTACCTTGTTAACATACAATCGAATAAAACGAATGACCCTGGTAACGAGGTGTCCGTTTCTTTACGGTTTCTTTACGGTTTCTTCAGCTCTCGGAGTGGATCTAGGAATTTTTGGTTGGAGGGTTCTCGACTAGCTCACACCTTCCCCACCCACCCCTTTCCCTCGTCATTAGGGGCAACGCAAGAAGAGGAAGCAAGTTGAGCAGTGGTATGCGATCATGTTATTGCAAGAGTTTTATCGTCAGACAAGTAGTAAAAAAAAAAACTGCAGGGTCCGTCATTTGCTGGTGAAAAGCAAAGCTAGTGATTTGTTTTATCGAGCTACGACACTCAAGATTCCAGACTATCATATCTGATTTATTTAGCTTTCCGCGGAATGGTTGGTGATGATCAGAAGCTATCTTGCTTCACTAGCTTTCAGTAGCTATAAGTAAACTTCCAATACTCTTGATAAACCATAAATAGCATGATTGACTAATTAGCAACAAAACGCAAATTGTGTCTACCGCAGGGTGCGACAACATTAATTAGAATTCATAACCGATAAAGCAGCAAATTGAAGGAGACCTCGTACTTCCTAGAGAAGTATGGGTTGAGATATAGGCCAAAAATTTCTCACCGAGCATAGCATGACAAAAATCACTTTTCTGAGTTCAGATCCGCAAACTTCAACTTTCACGCAGAAATTTTTGAAGATTAAGGATATGGAGGATGTATCTTCAATTTGCACCTACAGTAAAGGAGGTTGAGAAGGAAAAAGGGGAAGTTACTATTATGATTTTTTCTCACGATCACCACTTTTTGACGGAATAAATTACTGAGTAACCGGAAGTTTAGTGTAGTGCGTTAAATGAGCGCTGGTGAAGGAGCAAAACGTAATTGGATTGACACGTTGAATGCAACGTGGAACAAACAGAAAAAAAAAACAAAAACAAATGAAGAAAACACGATTGAAAATTCACAGCTGATTTAACAAAATTTTCAGCTTTTCTTCTTTATTTGTCACTTATTGACACATCGACAAGAAACCCGCGATGATAAATGTTAAGGAATTGACATTAGACTGGTTCGAATCGGCGATAAGTCCTTGTTGTCGAGGGTTCGCGTCAGCAAACGTCAAATTACAGTAGAAGTATGCTGGAAATTTAGGGGAGACCGATTTTGTTTCGAGCTCAAGCGAGGTTCGAGTCAATAGAGGGTTCGAGTAATCAGAATGAGGAGAGGATGAACCCTGGATAAATAAAGCCATGCCGTGAACTGGATGTTCACGTTATATAAATAGTTGGTGAATTGACCGTTTGTCCACAGCTGAGCACATGAATTTGACTCAAGGAATGATCCAAGAGTTGATTTTTTTATACGCGGTTTTAAGAAATTTTAAAAAGTTCACGTGTTCATTCCAGTGGCATAATTTGAGTGACTTAGGAGATCAAACGAGGTTGATGTTTTGTTGATTATTTTCACAGATAATTCACAGCACTTCAATATACTAGACACCGAAGTACTATGCAAGCCGTAAACTTATTTAAAGTGTGTCATCTTCCCGATTTGGATTTGTTGCTGGTGCCACTGCCAGCGTGGCGAATAAATTACACGCTAATTATCGCACCTCCTGAAAAAAGTGCCGGTTTTCGAGTGGTTCATGAGGGCAAAAACGGGTACTCTTAGACAAAAATAAATAGACCAGAGTACAGTTTGTAGAATTAACTAGACCACCAGACCAAAGTATAGTTTGTAGAATCTATGAATCCTGATGCCACGCAATCATCTCCGGTGAAAAACCGGATGAATCTTCCTTGAAAAGAGCGGTGAAATAACAAGACGTATTGTATCGTGATTGGCTTACTACCTCGTTTCCAGTCTTCAACTCGAGACGGCCAATGCCGAAATCAATCATGGCGCCGGTGCGGATGACTGTGTCTTTGGGAATAATTCTTCTATTAGGATGTCATTTGGCTTATTCTCTACCTGATACCGACTCACCAAAACGCGAACAATCTGATAAAATCATTGATTCAAATAATCCTTCTGTAAGGAAGGAAGAGCATGACAATGAAGTAGACGAACAAAGTAAGTTGAGCTGATTCAACAGGCGTTCTGCTGCACAGGTCATACATTACGGTTTGAGCTGGTATTGTTGTTGGTTACGCGGACTTTGATCATTCTGGCAATTTGTATTTTTCATTCAAACATCAGGTAATCAAGTGCTCAAAGCCCCTGAGAAGCATACCCAGCGATCCAATGCTCCTGCTAACTCTGACGGTGAAGTAGACCAAAGAGGTACCTAAAATCTTCCGCTCAGGAGATTTGTCTGAAATTTGTTATAGAGTCGTGGAACATCGTTAAACATGACCTCTTATGTCGAAATTGAACTAATACCGCCTAATTTGATCCGCCTGAGCATAAGTTTAGAAGTATTTGCTTTTATTTTCAATGGAGGTATTTTTTTTCTCTTTGTTACATCGGACTATAGAGAGAAAAGCGGGCAAAATCACAAGTAATATTTGCTGTTCGAGTCGACTGCGATCGTGGTTCGAAGTCTACCCAGCAGTTAACATGAACCTCTTCTTCTGGCATGACATTCTCAGTCTGTTATGTCCATTCATGGAGACCGCTTTTTTTCTCTCTTTAACAGTTTCAGCCCGCCTATCTATATGTACATAATAACATAATTCTTTTCTTTGTAAATTGAACAGGCTTGAATGACTATCGAACAGCTGTTTCTTGTGCTAGCATTTCGTTTCCAGGATGGTGAATCGCTTCTTAAGCTCTACATGTGTTCTAAGTTTATTTACGATTAAGGGTTTCCATGATTCCTGGTTTGTTTTATTTTCCTGTTCTTTCGATATCATTCGAGCTTTCAGTCTACTTTTGTATACCGTATTCTTCTTATCGTATAATTTGTGTTGTGGCCACTAGCTGTAGAGATCCTAAGGCAAGTTAATACGTTACAAGTTTGTTCGTACTTTTGCTTGATTTTAATTTCATTTTTCAGCCCGCAAATTCTAGTTAGGATGTCTTTAAAATTGACGAGGCGCTTCCTTTTAGTTTGCATCGAAACGGCTGAGTACTCTTTAAATGACTGTTGTTCAAATAGTTTTCTGAATCCTTTATAGTCAGATTTCGACAAAACAATCAGTTAATGCTACCTGTGCCTTTTTGATAGAAATAGCAGTTTTCAACCTTGCTTTTTTTTTTTGGAAAACCAATAAGACGTTTGAAATGTATGTCAAATTTGTATTGAAAGACATTTGTCTTAGAATTCATATGACAACTAAAAACCAACCAGGTTTTCATATTATAATGGTTTGGAATCATTAGATTTTCACTTGTTATAGTACCAATTTTTTAAATTTACATCCTGTAAAAGTTACAGGTATTAAACGATTAAGGAAAAAAAAACCACAAATACCAATCAAACAATTTCAGAGGTCCTGAGCCATACCCTTGCCTACCCATCTCTATCTATAGACAATTATTATTGTAATAGCCAGCTAAAAAAAAAAGAAAGAAAAACTGAAATGGTTCAAAATCTTCCTACCACAACTTTTTAACTTTTGAACCTTCAAAACGCACTTACACAAGATCTGCAAAATGGTCGGTCATAGGGTAACTGCACTTTCAAGAATGCATCTATCTACAATTGCAGAGTTGTTTTCTGATATGGGTAACCCTATGAGAGACCATCATGTAATTTCTCCTTACAGAAATACTTCTGAGTTGTTCATTGAGATCATAAAAAAGATTGTCAACCTAAGCATCTTTGATTGTTAAACAAATTCTCCTTGTCAGTACTGAAGGAAATGGATAGAAAAGAGTATGGAGAATATGGAAACTGACGTTAGAGTTTAAAGGGTTAAATACAATGATAATTGTACTGACCTGGTTCTTGAAAATATAAGCATTCACTTCCTCCCTGACATGTTTAGATCGGCTGTGATTAAACCTTCAGTTCAGATTTTAACTACATTTTCTACATCTTAGGTTATTCTCTGATTCTATTATAACCATTCATTTTTTGAAATCATGCATCACAAAAATGAAAGGAAACAGTTTTGTGTTACCCCAAAGTTTTTTTTTTTTTTTTTTGGGAGGGGGGGGAGGGGGGCTATAATAAAAGATTAGAGATTTTTATTCTACTTTTGCATGGATTACACACCCATGTTCAAAGATGCTTCTTAATTTCTGAAGACATTCTGAAGCTTCATTCATATGCAAATACCAATATTTTTACACACTAACCCAAATAAGGAAGCATTAGAAGTGATTGACATGTGGTGGTTACTTCTACTGACAGAATCCAAACAGAAAACAAAATGTAAAAAAAACTAAAAAATAATTGCAAGCATTCCATATCACTGAATTTCTTGTCGGGCACCATTTTGTACCACATCTCTCATTGTGGCTGATGCTCATAAACAGCATTCTTAAGATTTTGTTACTTGCAGCTTTGTTAATGAGGGAAAAAAAAGCAATAAAAATGACACCCCAAAATGTTGCAGTTCAACAGAGGTGTGCTCAAAATTCCATTAACAAAAAACAGTTATGTTTGTTTCTGAAACAATTTCTAACAATGCCTGCCCGTTGTCCTATCTGTGTCAACAAATTTTAAGCTTGAGAACATTTTAAGCATCTAGAGAGTTCCAGCTTCCTTTAATGAAAATTGTATGCTTGTTTTGACATTGATTCAAACATGTTAAATGACATTGAACTATTTACCCATGTTTGTTACATGCAGCTTCTGTTAGCAAAAAATTAAATCCCAGAAAAAAAATTGGATACTAAATTTAAAAGTAAGCAGAGTTGTTAATTTGCAATTTTAGGCAATGTCCCATTTAAGTGTTTCTCAGTTACTGATATATCCCATATAACAAACTATTGTGGAAATCCAAAATAACAAATAAAAGTATTGTCCTAAATTGTTGTTTTAGATAAATCAAGGGAAGAGAAAAGACCAGATGGAAAAATTAGATTTTCCGGAGGAAGTCAGAAGATTGGTGGTGATGAGTCACCATGCGCTGACGATATCAGCCGACTTTGTCCACAAATTCCTAAGGGAAACAACTTTGGTCTTCTGGTTTGTCTACAGGAGAAAGCAATGGTATGGTTTTCTTACACACCCTAGGCTATAATAGAGGGGAGGGGTGAGTGAAGGAGGCTTGTAAGCAGAATGAAAGAAAAACCTAAAAAAAAATCATAGAGGAAGCAACAGGAGTGTTGATCGACTGAATTAAGTTGTTTATGAATAAAAGTGGTAGGCTTCTAAAGAGACTGTGTTGCTGCGTCAGTGCAAGGTATTACAAGATAAGTTGGTTTTAGCAAATGATTTAACTCTTTAATTCCAGATCCAATTTGTAATTCTCCTTACCTTCAACCATATAATTCTTATAATGTCAATTCAGAGAATTTAGTATTGGATCTACTAATTATCCCCAAATTGATCTTTTTCTTTATTTTCATCACTTATCTGGTTGTTATTGTATAGATATTGTAAGGATAAATTCTCTCTAGGTCACCATTGTTGTTTAAGAGTTAGTAATATAAATTGGCCACCATTTAGTGTCTCCAAAGCTGATGTATTCAAGCCATAGCCCTTTGTCAAAGGATATGACATGATAAACGATATCACCTAGTTGATAAAACCAAATAATTTAGTAAGTTTTTTTAATTTTTTGTTTGTAGGGAACTTTTTAAAATCAATATGATTGTTATGATAAATTAATTTAATTTCCATACTTGGAACAAAATCAAAAGTAAAATCAGGAATCCAACAAAGTTAAATCTACACAATACTTTAGATCATTTAGGAGTAATTTTGGATGTTAGTGACATATATCTTTGGTTCACTGTAGGAAGATGACTTGTCCTCAGATTGCCATCATGTAAGTTGATTGATATGTCTTTCTAAGGGTACTCTGTAAATTTCTGCCATCTTGAATACTAGTTGTTCTTTAAATTCCAGTGAGTCTCTACCTTTAAACCTTGGTTAATGCAAAGTCTTCACATGCCTTAACTGTTGTTGCTGATCATGAGCAGGTTTGAGATAAATTGATTCGACTCAGCTGCAACAAAATATTTTGCATATTGTTTGAATCATGTTGAAAAAGGAGGTGTACACTGGTGAGATATACAGTGGATGCAATTGTTCTCATGGAGAGAACAAAATGTGATCTTTACAGAACTTGTTGCCACACAAGTCTTCTTCTTTTTTGGCAGAGCAGCAATGTTTGTAATGTTGTCTTAAGTCTGTCTGTAGTTCTAAATGAATCAGCTCTTTAAAACAATTTTTCATTTATTTATTTTTGAAGATGCTTTGGGAATTTAAAAGAAAATTCTCTAAAGATGAAAAGTTTGAACAGACAGTGAAAACTAGATTTTGTGTGGAGGACTTGAAAAAGGTAAATTCAGTTTGTTACCATTTTCTAACAGTTTGCATGTGGATGCTCCTTTAAAACATTAGTAATGTGTTTCTTTAAACTGTTGTTGAAATATTTTGCTAAATTATTATATAAACATCAAATAGATTCCATGTTTCCATGGTTTGCACAGTAACAGATCACAGAACGTATCAAAATATGGTAAGATCATTGGTGACACACTTGGCTGCTCCTCATGTGCTACTTTTTTTTTTGGTACCATATCTCGATGTCATCTGTGATCAATTACTGACAGATGCAGGGCAACATGGAATCTGTCTGTTAAGTAAACAACCCTGATAAAGATACTAAGTTTGTGGTTATTTTTGATAGTGTTCCAAGTTGTTGATTTTTTTCCTCAAATGTCCATTTTCCAAGGACACATTCATCACTATGGTTGTTTTAAAAGAAAAGTTACAAATGAAAATAAATTCAAAGAAGGTTGGAAAGAATAAGTTTTCTAGAAGGGTTTTCCAAAGGCTTCTGAAGGTTTTCAAAATAAATAGGAAACAAGTCAAGCAAAATTTGCTTTTCAGCTTGAAATTCTCATTAGCACATATCAAACTAATGAAACCATGATAATTGGTGATCTGCCACTTGATCTGTGGACAAATGTCTAGAGAGCTTTTACCCTTTCCCGGAGTTATTTTACTGATGCTTGTATGTTATATTACTTCATGTGCTACAACTCTTATTTGTTCGTATTAAATGTTCCAGTTCCAAGACTGTCAGAAACCAGGAGAGATTGTTGCGTGTTTGTTGGAAAACAGGCAGAATCTTACAGTTCCATCCTGCAAACATATGATGACTAAAATGCAGGCCATTTTCTTCAGTGATTTCCGATTGATCTCGCACTTTTTGGAGGATTGTTCACCAGATGTGAACAAATACAAGTGTGGCAGAATTCCATCAGAGCAGGAGGATGAGGTTTGTAATTTATCCGTTAATCATTTGACGAGGAGATTGGCTGAGAATGGAATTCTTTCCGAGGAATACATGGCAATGATGGTACTCACTAGTGGCACATCAGTTACAAGAAGGCCCAACTCAACCTGTGTTAATAATTTTTTACAGAAAATTTTTGAAAAAAAGAAAGATTTATTTTGAAAAAATGATAAAAAAAACTTTATCACTTAAAATTTTTAAGGAATTATCTTTATATTTGTCTCAGGATATCCACTCCCAAAATGATGTGTTAGAATGTCTTGAGGAACACCAAGATGACTTATCGCAAGCATGTCAGAAGCAGATATATCGTCTTGCTGAACTGTCTTCAGATGACTACCATCTTGATCGACCCTTATATTATGCCTGTAAAGATGACAGGGAGAGGTTTTGTGTTGATGTCCCATCAGGGGAGGGGAGAGTGTACAAATGCTTGAAGAAACACAAGTTAGAGGAACAAATGAGTGATGAGGTACGTGGTGTTCTGAACAATGAGATAACCTCATTACCAACTGGTGTGTTTGCAAGTTGTTGTGCCTAAGGTTTGTTGTTACAAGGCAAAGTGATATTAACAAGAGCACATAGTACTGATAGTAGGTATTTTTTGGTGTAAGCCAGGCACAGTCACATTGCTGCCATCAGTTAATGCCCCAGTTGCAAATGGAGGCTAGGTGCCCTGGGGGCTTAGGGTCTGCTACCCCAAGGCACTAGAATACCTGACTTTGGATCAGAGTAGTTTAGAGAAGGATTGTTGTTGCTTGAAGTGATTGATGTTTTTACAATCTGAAAGAAACTGATCATCAGAGTTAATTTACCAGATTCTTGGTGGGATGTGAAAGTGGCAGTCACTGATACAGAAATGAAAACCAGTCCTTTTCAGGACTACTCGCATTGCAGTGTAGTGTCCTAAGAAATATTTTTCAATCTTTCATGATACTGCACTCCTGATTTAAGTGAGTCCAGATGAAACTTTCAAGCAATAATTTCATAAGCGTTTTGGTAGTTTCTTTCCTCAAATTATTTTATGTCACATCCTGAACTGCATTAATTTGTTTTTGTTTTTATCCCATAGTGTAAAGATAAGTTGACAGAGAGACAAAAGTTAGAAGCTAAGGATGCTAAGGTGAGACATCCATACCAGTAATTTCCAAGTTTGGGAAGTGCTTTTCCAATCTAATTTATTCAACCCTTTAGTGTTAACTGCCTAGTGGGAGCACTGCCATAAAATCTTAATTTTTCTCATCTTAAGGGGAAAAGGAAATTGTGTGAAACTATTTGGAGATTTGAAACATTTATAGGAAGGGAAGTCTATTTTGGTTTAAATTACTTGGAGTTTTGGGAAAAGGATTAAGAAGTCAGATTATTCTGTGTGCAAGCAAGAAGAGTGAGTGGAAGATGAACTGCTCATATTAAAAGTGAGGTGGGCACTGTGCAGTCCAAAGCAAAGCAAAGGGGTAAAACTTGAAAGAGCAGAGAAGAAATCCCGTCCAGTTGCAGCCTTGAAGCTTGCAATCATAGACCTTTAGAATTTGTGTTTGGGCAATAAATCTGCTGAAAAAAAATTGATCTGTAACTTACAGTACCGACCCCTAACTTGGTATGTAAGAGATATGTTTCTGCTGTTGCAATATTATAACTGATGAGAGGGATCTTTTTCTTCTTTGAAGGCCAACTATCCACTGATGAAGAATTGCTTGAAGTACTATACAGAATTTAGGGAAAAATATGAATGTGAAAGAGGAAGTACAAAACATGGAGCCATGGCAAACATTCTGATATGTTTGGAGAAAGCTATACAAAATGGTAATGATTACCACATAGATTATGTAAATTATTTATTTCTTTAAATGTTTATGACTTTACAGGAATAAAACTAAGCAGGTAAAAAAATTTGGCATTATTATGTGTTAATATTTTATCAAAGTATGACTTCCTTGTTGCCAAGGAGATTGTTACTTCTGCTGTCAATACATTTCAGCCTATCCAAATATTATATTTGCTGAATAATTTTACACTGGAATTGCAGATGAAAAAGTGGGTGGCAAATGCCAGGCAGAATTATTTGATCTGCGACAACAGTTGATGACAGATTACTCCCTCAATCCTGAGATTGTTGCTAAATGTGACATGGAAATCAGAGACAGCTGTCAGAAAGAGGCAACAGTGAAGGAGGGAAAGACAATTGACTGCTTAATGGCCTTAGCAGAGGAACATGAAGGGGATGATAGTAAGATCAGACCACAATGCTTCGCAGCAGTAAGTATCAAACTGTACATGAAGTGGGGTGAAGATTTTGTTCGTTGAAAAAGGGCCTTAACCCTAATAACTCCTAGTTCAAATTTGTCATTCTCCTTACTGTCAACCATAAAATTCTAATGATGTTAGTTCAGAGAATCTCGTATTGGACCAACTTATTATCCCCAAATTGATATTTTTCTTGATTCTTATCACTCATTTGGTTGATATGGTATTGATATTGTGAGGAGAAATCCTCTCTTGGTCACTAATATGCTCCCAAAAAAGAAGGGAGAAAACTAAATGTAACATTTAAGCCTGACAGTTTACTCACTTGGCTTTCAAAAGTGGCAGCTAAATCACATGGTCAAAGAATGACTAGTCCTATATGATGTTGTTGCATGTGAACAAGACTCTAGGATTTTCACAAAACTTTTTTTTTCACAATCTAAGCTAAATTTTTATTTCATTTGGTACCCCTTCTGCTTTGGAGGGCATCATACTCAGTTAATTAAAAAAGCATTTTATTAATAGTGCACTTGCACTGCATGCATTATTTGTTGATTATTAATTAAGAAAGGATTATCAATCAGTTGTGTTGCATGACAGGTTGAGGAACTTTTAGAGGAAACTGGTGCAGGAAGTGATTACCGCATTGATCATACCTTGTACCAAGCATGTGAACCTGTTGTGCAGACTGTCTGTAAAGATAAGGGCAAAAAGGAAGGAGATGTTATGTGAGTATTGATGCAAGTTTTATAAGTGTAGAGCTCTCTTTAACAGAGAGTCATAAAACAAAAGCATTGTTATCACATCAAGAACTCACAATGTGCAGAAATAACCTGTGTTGGGCTCAGGAGAACATGATTTATCAGTGGAAGCCACCTTTGGTTTTTAATGTTGAATCAGATTAATGATATGGTTTGCAACTTTTCTGTAAGACTTTCTTTAGTCAATGTAATGTTTTCAATTTGAGCAAAATTCATTTGCTCTGACTGGCACTTAAACTTACTAAATGAGCAGGATAGTGAGCTTAGAATACATACATGTATTTTCTTTTCTCTTGCATTTTTTTTGGAATCTGTTTATTATTCCATGTGAGGCAGCATCAACAATCAAGTAGCATTGTTTAAAAAATTCTACTTTGCTAGTTGTTTCTCCAGATGTTACTTTGTACTCTATTGGTGTGTTTTTTGTACTCTACTGTGTGCAGTTGGGTAATAAGAGGTGAGACAGGCTGAAAAGAAGAGCAGTGTTAGGTTTTTTTTAAGGTCATCAAGCCTTCCCTGTTTTCAAGACTATATCCCACTCATTATTTTTTCATCAGTAATTTGTGAGTTGTTTTCCCATCTGTAGGGTTTTGTCTTGTCTGATGGAAAATCTTCACACAGACAACATGATACCAGAATGTGAGGTACAGCTGCTTCATCTGGAATTTTTCATTGCAAGAGACTTCAAGTAAGGGCAAACTTTAATTCTGAGTAATTTTTAACATGACATGTGCACTATAATGCTTACTCTTGGTTTATTGTATCAGACCCTGGGATTCAGATTTTTTAGACATTCTTAAAGGCAATTGAAAATAAACGACTACATAGAGACCTTTTTTTTCTTGAAACATGAAGCCATGACAAGAGATTCTCAAGGGTAACTTGGCCTATCCAAAATGAAATATGTTAACTTTGACTATTAGTTCTATTTGATCTGTTGTTTACCAGAATTTTGTCTGGTATCCTTTGTGCATTTTGTTTACAAGTTTTGGGTTGTGATTGTTTCAGGCTCGATCCTGTGATGCAGAAAGCATGCCAGGGTGATGTCCAGAAAGTCTGTGGTGCTGATTCCCTTGAGGACCAAGACTCGCATCCAGTCAGCCTGATTTTGTCATGTCTTTATCGACATATTGTGCTGGATACAGACGTAAAGGTACGACCTTGATTTTTAGAAACCTACACACCAAGAATGGCAACACACAATATGGCATGTGTAATTGTTGTTATTATCACATAGGTTCAAGGAAAGGTACACTATGATTGGTTGATACCTTTGAAGAGCATGGTGATATCAGATTGTTTTACACTTTTTTGCAACATTTTTGTCTTAGTGTTACCAGTTTTCACAACATAAATGTTTATTCAAATGCTGACAACAAATGCGTGAGTTGTTGGGCTATATATTACTGCCAGATGTTGCATAGTTTCAAATATCTGGAATAATTTTTCTCCATTATTCAGGTCTCCCTCAAATGTGCTGCACATGTAGAACGAGCCATGCACCAAAGGGCTATGGATGTACGTCTGATGCCTGAAATACAAAGAGCTTGTGTGGTGGATCTTGGAAAACAGTGCAGTGATCAAGTTGAAAAAGGAGAGGTAAAGGTTACTAAGTTACATGTCCCTCCAAATGAAAAATCTGTCAGTTATTCTTTATTCTTCCCCATTTTCTTACTAACTGTAGCTATTCCTCTTCCCATGGGAGTGAGAATCCTTCTGCCGGAGATTTCCTCCAGGCTCAGTTGACTACCTCCTTTTCTAGGTGTTCCCTTGTTCAGGCTCTGTCCCTCTTCACTGTCCTCAGCTATTTTCTTTGTTGTGCATCTCCTTCTGCACCCATTGAAGGTCCATGCAAGGGAATAAGTATTCTGTTTTAAACAGTTTACCATTGTTCACAATACTATCTGGTGAATTATTCTAGTTTATGTAATATTGCTAACTTATAGGGTCTGGTTTTAGCTGATTGGAATCCTTTTGGGTTCAACAATTTGATCTCATGTACTCTTCCTTGTTCCCCTATTATTTTATGCTTTATCTTGTTTTATAGGAGATAGAGTGTTTGCAGGAGAAATTTGACAACCTCACTGCAACTTGCCAAAAAGCCATTAGTGATTTTACTGAGGAGGAGGGAGAGGTGTGTCTTGTTCTTTAATCTTTATCTCAAGCTACTGCATTAGACTATAAATAATAATATTAATGATAATGATAATGATAATAATAAGTTGTCTTGGTGAAGGGATTTTGAAGTAAACAGAAATGAGATTCCAGTGTAGTCTTACTTTCTTCAGGGCAGTGCTTAGAAGAGTAAGATGTCTCTGGACTCTATTTATAAGACTAGGCCTTTTTGAAGTGACTTTGAGAGCAGTGTATTAGAGATCCTTTGTTGAGGCAAAGATTGTAATGGTAAGCAGTCTGAAATAATGATCCTTTGGCTGATCATGTGAAGAATGCTTTTGTACTTGATAACAGGACTACAAGCTGGACAGGGTTCTAGTGCGTGCTTGCTCTGGAATGGTGACAAAGTTTTGTGAGGTGGGTGGTAGTAAGTTTTCCAGTACAGTTTTATGTTTAGTTTTTAGTAATATTTTAAGAGGTAATTCCTTTACATGGTGTACCTACCAGCATAAAGTTTTCTGGGTTAACCTATTCCCCTAAATTTAGAAAAACTTGTTTTATTTAATGACTGCTTCTTGATTGTTGGTGTCATATTTCATGGCTGTTACCCCTGAGTTAGAATCATAAACTGAGTCAATATCACTGTTGTGTCTTGTTCAAATAGGATATTGTAACCCAAGGTAACACAGAAGGAGTCCTACCATGTTTAGTTGAACACAAAAATGATCAAGGAATGGATGAGAAGTGTTATACAGCCATTAACCACTGGCAACTGGTGAGTAAAAATGAGGTTTGTGGGGAAGAAAGCTTTAGGAGACTTCTGATGCACTACCTGCTTCCCCTCCCAAGGGGAAACACTCCATTAGAAGTTAGTATATTTATTATACCACACAAGTGAATTGTGCTTTTCGCACTTGATGGCTAGTTTGGAAGTAAATAGCAAGTACTATTCACCTCTGGGCTGGCAATGCTACTGAATGGCGCATCACGAGTTAAATTTCCAACCACATTTCTGTATATCAGAAGAAACAACCGAATTTTTTGGTATCTGTGTTGTATATGTTAAAACAATTATTCACCCCAGTGTTGGCAAAAGTTGTGAATATTTACCTTGCAGCTTCACTGCACCTGAAATATCCACTACTATTCACTTCCATTTCAGTGAATAATTATTAATCATTAAGAATTTTTTTCCAGGTAGCCCTTCAATTGCAATCTGAAAAAAGGCTCACATGTATGAAATTAAATACTCCAAAATATTCTTTTGAACCAAATTGCAACATGTGAATGGTTAAAAACACACTTTTTTTGCACCATATTTGATTGTGAGGTTTATTAGACATGCCGGAGAAAGGGACGTTGTCAAGAAAATGAATTACGAGAAATCTTTCAAGGATGCTTGTTATTTGATAATTGTCTTTTTATTCCAGCTGAAGGAAGTTGATATGCTATTGTTATATTTATTTTCATTTGTTCATTATTTTTTTAGGTTGAAATGAAAGACTTTCATTTTTCCCATGAATTCAAAAGAGCTTGCAAAGATGATGCAAGGACACACTGTAGGGAGGCAAAGAGCAAGTAAGCACTGATTTAAAAGAGGAAAGGGGAAACTGAAGTTGAACAAACAGCTGTATTGTGTATTCATTGAACAGGTGGCCTTGTGTGAAATTCGATATCGCTACATTTATTCATTTCATTTCTGGAGGTGTTCTTTTTTTTTTTATACGAGAGATGCAATGCCTCAATGGCTTTGTACATGTAATGAATTTATTCCGTTTTCCGACTTACAACAAGTGGCTAAAGTGAATCCGACCAAGTTTAAACTAGAATTTCAGAGTTTGATCCATGAACGCAACGAGAACATACACACCAAACAACTCCGAACGAGTACAACCACATCAAGTGGTCACGTGATTAACAAGCAACACGTCAATGTCAACTAAGGGGGGTCCCCTGAATTCCGCACTGTGCATTGGCTAACCCTTTACATCCTAATATTGGTATTCATATTCTCCACTTCTCTCTTAACATTTCCTATAATGGTACATTTTGTACTGTCAAGAAGAATCTGTGTAACAATCAGGAGCGTCTCAAATTAGTGATAATTTCCTTTTTTTCTCATGACCTTTACATTTGATTCAAGGGTGATAACGATTTTTCTTTCCAGACATGACCTTGTTGTCTGTTTGAGTAAAAAGATCCGAGATGCTGTTATTAGCGAAGAAGAACATGTCATCTCTGATACTTGTCGCAAACACTTGAAGATAGAGAAGGAGATTGAGGTAAGTTCATAGGATCAACATCAGTATCTGGGCAGCTACCTACCTACCCCTCCCTAGCTCTCCTCCAACCTTTTCCCTCTCGTTAACCCTTTAAACCCCAATATCAGTTTCAATATTCTCCATACTCATCTCTGTACATTTCTTTTGTTACTGACGATGAGAATTCGATTAACAATCAAAGCTTCTAGGGTTGGTGATCATTTCCTCAATTCTCATGATCCTAATTAATGATTTAGCAGTGTTACTATAGGGAGAAATTAGATGCTGGTCACTCTTAGGCTTAAAAGGGTAAGCAAGTTATTCTTTTTTAAGTCGAGCGATATTTTTCCTTTTCAGTCGGAAAATGTCGAATTTGATCCTGTGATGATGGTGAAGTGCATGGCAGATATTGCAAAATTGTGTTCTAAAGTTACATTTGGTCAAGCAAAGGTAAGCCTTAAAATACAGTGGTAATCTGTTTTGCTGAAACTCCTCTGTCTTAAGCACAAAATTGTCACGTAACTCACCCTATGCATCGAGAGAGTGAGGGAGCATGTTGAGTCATAATCTCAAATGGTGGCTGCAAAGGAGGATGAACCTTCCTCCCCTTGTCGGGACCAGTAGGGAGGTATTGGAAATCTTTTATGAAATCATTATCTACGTCATCATATGCAAACAAAACCAAAAACGAAATCCATAAAGATAAGTGTTGTTGGTAAATTATTGATAATTGAGAGGGTTAACCTTCACATGAATCTACCCCTGGTTAGATACCAGCCTGTAAAGAGGCTCTTAGCTTGGTGTTCTCTTAGTTAAAGTTGATGTTGATGCGATGTTGAACAACCAGGAGACTTGAGTTACCTGGAGGAAACGAAAGGGATATGATGAGACTAGTCTTTGAGGAAAAGCTTTCATTCAGCTTTACAAGATGTTCAGTATATCCCTGGTTGGAGAACAGCCCCACAGTTGAGAGGAAATGCGAAGGATTGAACGAAATTGCTTTTTATCGCGCTCTATTCTGCTCAGTGATTTAAGATTTTATCTTCGTGCGTTATGCTGAGCTTGATTTTGTGAACACTTTGTTGTCCACTCTGCATGGAAAGTGAATTGCTGATTTATGTGTATGTGGATGAGTAAAGGGCAAAATTATCACTCTTTAGTTCTCTTTCTTAGTTGATAGACTAGTGCAAAGAAAAAAGGGGTATAACAGAGTCATTAATTGATCAACGTTCTTCTTACAGATGTTGGAGTGCCTCAAAGACAACCGCGAACAGTTATCTGACCAATGTAGAGAGACAGTGTTCAAGCGCGAGGCAAGTAGTTGTTAATCTTAACGTTGAAAAATGAAACTTTTCTTTCGATCAGCCGTTTGGTTGGTTAAGCTAATTTTGATTGTGCCTTTATTATCCTTCTACTGCTATCATTGCTATCTCATTTGCTCGCATTTTCAAGAATTTTTCAACCAACAAATTGCAAAACTGAAAGCAATAACGACTTAGTCACTCCCGCCTTCTTGCTTCTCTGGCGGTGGTTTGCTTGTTTTTCTTTGAGTATCCATGTACTCCGATTCTATTTTGCTTCTAATTGACCATTGTGATTTTTACAAAGTTCGATTGATGAGCGCTCTGGGACTTTTTGAAACCTTTAATAAATTTCTTTTTTTTTTAATTTCTATTCAGGAGGAAGAGTTTGAAGACCCCGATTTGGACTACAAACTGAGAAAAACGTGTCGGAAGATGATCAAAGTACGCGCGTCGTTGTAATGTGTGTGTAATCGAAGTTAGAAACTAAACGAGACATGTCAGTCACTTGGAAATTCTCAATCCTGTGTATTCACTGCTAAGGGAATTCTCGGCTGTTAAATTCGACCTTTGGGATAAACATTGTAAAAGATGAGGAACGATCACAAGCTTTACTTCACATAAATACTTTTTTTTTTTCGTAGCAGACAGAAAATTTCCATGCCTTATTTTCACAACCCTATTCGTTCAATGTTTTTCTTTTATCTAACAAAAGCCCAGTTCTCTCTTGAAAGGTTTATCACAGCAACAATCAAGCCCCTTTAAAACATCCCTGATTGTAGCTTTATGGTCAGGTACCTAAACAATGAGTGCACTGAGCCCTGTTGTTTTATTCGAATTTCAACTATTAGATCATGTTAGTTCAAGAAATCTGTACTGTGGATTTACAGCCTCCTTAATGTTTGCGGTGATTTATTTCAGCTGTTTTGCGATGACGTCCAACCGTCCGAGTTATTTTCTTGCCTCAAAAAGCACAAGAATGAACCGGAAATGGAGCGCAGGTACTTTAAACGCCTTGCTGTTCACTTATTTGGTAGCTGACCCCTACAGCCACCTCTTGTGTGCTCATAAATACATCACAATGTGAACTTTATAGAAAAATTAAATACAGATTTGCGTTGGTGATTTGCGATTTTGGGTACAGTTTTGAATAATAAGCACAAGTTCTAGTTATGCCAAAGTGCAATGGAAATCCTTTAATTATATGTAGATAGTTTACAGTCACTTTTTACTACTTGTACAACTGTTACGGGACGATACGTAATATCAGCTAGAAAGTTAAACAGTTTAGCGTGAGTCTCACCCAAAATGGAAAACTTTGCTGCCACTGTTTTAGTGTTGCCAAGATTTTCCGACGTGAGCCCACAAAATTCGTGACAACGCCCAACCCTCGTTTTTTATCTCCTTCTTATAAATGTCAGTGAAGTTTCTTACACCTATAAACTAACGAATACTTATCTTACTTAAATGCAAAGTGTATTTATTTACTAAGCTCAACTTTTCCATTTGGTTTTAGCTGCCAGGATGTGATCACCAAAAGACAGATAAGGCAAACGAAAGGTGAATTATTTTTAGTGCAACATGTGTTCTTTATGCAAATGGTTGGAAGGTTATGGCGATTGTGGTCATGCGAGCTTGTCGGGGGGGGGGGGGGGAAATTTGAAAGGAGAGTCCGAGTGCTACGGCAACTGGATAGAATTTCGTTTTTTGTTTTTAATGTTTAATTGTCCCTTTTAGTTGAAGATCCTGGCACATTGCACGTAACTTTAATTGTACGCGAGCACTTAAAGAACACGCTACAGTACAATTACATCTATGATCAAACTAAGTTGTTCGCAAGCGTTTTTTAAAGCGCTTTTCAAACCAAAGAAATTACTACTTCCCATGCAATAGAAGGAAGACATCACGAGCAGTCAATGGGAAGTCAAAGGAAAAACTCGCAAACAACTTTACACTTAAACTCCATGAGTGATCAAGACAGAATTTCTCCTCACAATATCAATGTAATCTCAAGCAGATCAGTGATGATAATAAAGTAAATTATGAATTAGGGAATTATTAGTTGATCTAATACCAAATTTTCCAAACTGGCATCATGAGAATTTTATGGCAGACGGTAAGGATAATTCTTATCAGATCTTGGGAGTTGAAGGGTTATAGTGCGGGAGAACGCGGGCGAGCAAGACACGATTGGTTTTAATTTGAAATCTGATTGGTTGCATTACTACTTCCCATGCAATAGAAGGAAGACATCACGAGCAGTCAATGGGAAGTCAAAGGAAAAACTCACAACAACAAACTCCATGAGTGATCAAGACAGAATTTCTCCTCACAATATCAATCATAGAAGTGATGAAAATAAAGAAAAATATCAATCAGAGGATTATTAGTTGATCTAATACCAAATTTTCCAAACTGGCATCATGAGAATTTTATGGCAGACGGTAAGGATAATTCTTATCAGATCTTGGGAGTTGAAGGGTTATAGTGCGGGAGAACGCGGGCGAGCAAGACACGATTGGTTTTAATTTGAAATCTGATTGGTTGCATTAGTGGGGCGAGTTTCTTGAACCAATCACACAACAAAGTGAGTCAAGACTTTCGACAGTCAAAACAAAATTGCTCGTCAAGCGAGGAAGCACGAAGCGAACGCACGTTCGCACTCGTGAAACTCCGCGCGGCTCCTTGATTTCGCTTGTGCTTTGGATGGACACTCAAAGCCACATTTCAGTAATTGTTGTGCATCAGCACGTCTAATGAAACTAAAAGAAAACAAGAAAACATACAGAAAACAAGAAAAAAAGGTTGAGGATAAGTGGGAACAGAAGTAACAAAAACTTTGTAACCTTGATGCACCGCGGCGAAGTAACGTGAGCTCTGTCTCTACTTTCTTTCAGATGTGAGACTCGATCCACAGCTTGGTAAATTTTGCAAGTTAGACATCGGGAAATTTTGCAAGGAAATCCCTCGTGGTGAAGGGAAGATTGTGGAATGCCTGAAGAAAAGATATGAGGTTAGTGGCGATTTTTATGTGACAGTTTTGTTTGGTTTTTTGGTGTTTGTTCATTGTCAACCTGGTGTTAGGGATGACCTCGTGGTTAGGTGTTTTAAACATAGTGTTAGGTTCAATATTCGGAAAGGAAAACAAACCCAAACTTTGGAATTGAAATCATTTAGATGAATTTCACGCTGGTAAATGTGAGTTGTTTTATTGGGAAAGATTGGGTTTCGATACGTTGATGACAAGTATTGTGTGCTGTTAAGAACATTTAACAAACGAAAGCGAGAGAAATGTGATTTGTGTGAAAAGAAATATTGAAGGTACGCAGATCAGCTGTTGGGCTTCAAGCAACAGTTAATCACCATGACCAATTATACGAACATTTTTTTCGCGTCCATTTGAGGCGAGTGTTTTCACTGTTCCTCAAACTCTATTGTATTAGACGCAGGCTGTCTAGTTTTCTCTTGAACGGATCTATCAGCAAGCAGATTTTTTTTCCTTACGCATGATTACCAGCCACTGTTGGACAAATTAGTTTTTTCCTTCCTTTGTAACTGAACCTAAACGGTCTCCATTTTAATCAAATTTAGTAGAATTGTTTTTATACTGAGTGAACGTAGGTGATGAAAATTGATCATCACACGGATGTTCCTTGGGGCTTTTTTTGCCCCTTCCCCGTGTCAGTCTGCTCTCAAGTTCATAAATTCTTATTAATATTGACATCCTAGTCGTTGTCTGACGAGTGCATGGACTATATGACCAGGCTGATGCGTGAGGCAGCACGTGACTACAGATTGGATCCAAAGCTCTCAAAAGAGTGTACTGCTGATGTGAGTAGCTGTATGTCTGTGTCAAATGGAGAATATAAAGGAAAAACCTCAGGGGTCGGTTATTTGCTCGTGGTCTAACATTAAAGCATGGTGTTCCACAGTCAGTGGACATTAGGTTTTCCCTGTAAGTGGATCGATTTAATGAAATTAATGTTCTCTCCACTGTCAGTTTTCTGCCCTCTTGACACTGTTTACAAAAATATATGTTCAGATAAAAGATTCGGCTAAATTGGTGATGGATTAGAACGCAGTTTTGTTGAACAACGGCTAAAGTTTGTTAAAATAATCACATTAGAATCTGTCTTGAATCTAGGATTTTGAAGTTCAACTTATGTCTAATGTTGAGTCGGTTGGCTTAGCTAACCCTTATCCAATAGTGCCAGGAAGTTAAATGGAGAACTGCTCGGAGAAGTGTCACAGTTTGTTCGTTAAAATCTAAGAGTGGTCTTCGAACTGGTTAAACTTGTCAAGACTACTACCTATTAAGAATAGTCGTCGTTCTCATTGATAGTCTTCGGGAGTCTGTGGTTAATCAATTATGGTTGAAGTTCATTTTGCTCTTCATTGCAGAAGAGCATTTAGATCTATGATTATAGTGTTCTGTGTTGAAAAATAGCCGGGAAAATGTATTTTATTTGTCTCCTATTAGATTAAGAAGTTTTGTAATGGTGTTCCGCCGTCTAACGTGGAAAACTGCCTCAAAGAACATTTAGGATCAGTTGGAAAAAAGGAATGTCGAGTGGTATGTAGTGGTTAAAGATTACTGAGACTATTTACGGCTTTTTGCCACAGCTGGAGATTCGATTGTTTTCGTATTTTATTTCCTGTTTTTTTTGGCCGTCTTTGCATTAGACTACGTTTAGTATGTTTGTTTTCTTCCTCGAGGGGCCCTTCGCACAAACGCGTAACTGAGTTTCTCGTTGCTCTGTCTTTTTGTCCTCTTATCTTCTCTTCCCTGGAAGATGGATGCGCTGAAGCCATGTATTTTTTTCTTCATTTCCGCCATTAAAAAGTATACACGGTTATAAATTTCAGCAACTTTTCTGTGTAAGTAGCTGTATGTCTGTCAAGGTAGAATGGAGTGGTGAATAGGGAGGGAGGGGAGGGTGAGTCAGTTGGGTAAGAAACTTCTTGCGCTGAATTGTTCGGGGATAGTTATAGATACGTTAGCAAACAACTCAGTTACCTAGCCGCACACGCAATTCGATACCACAAAGCGATGTTCAAAAACAATCGTTTCACTTGTTATCGCTAAAATTAATGAATTAAGAATGCGTTTTTGTCGTGCACCTAATTGTAAAAACTGATCGCCAAGAAATTGGTACAAAGAAGATTCAGACTCACCTCACAGGTGAACGGCCAGGTTGCTAAGCAATATTCAAAATGGTTGCATCCTTAGTCGAATTTCCAACGCATTTGAATTATTATACTTCACTATTGGTTAGGGTAAACTTTAGAATGCACAATGTGGTCACTATTCATGTTTACTTTTATTTAATAGTGGAGTTGAAAAATTAGGTGGTTTACTTCTCATCTAAAGCTTTCGTTCCTTTTCGAGTTAACTACAGTCAGCAGTCTCACTCGAGATGCTTTGTTAAATCAAAGTAAGTCTATGATGACTACCTTTTCACATGTTGCTTTTTTTGCAGGAAATAGTTCGGCAGATGAGAGAAGGCCGCACAGATATACAATCTGACCCTGTGCTATACAAGGCATGTGCAGTGGATGTCAAACGTCACTGTTCAGATGTACCATTTGGACGAGGAAAAGGTACCAGTATAATACCGTGCAGTAAACATTGTTGTTTAATTTAAAAGTTGACAGCTGTTTCTATCGGTTAACCGGAGTAACGTTTCACGCGAGTTGTAAGAGATGTCGACAAACAACTTTTCAAGTGAATCATTACCCTGCCAGAGCGGTACGGAACGCGGATTACTGTTACCGGAAAGTAGCTATGGGTTTACTGGTATAAAAAAATATTTATATTATTTTGATCAGTAAGAGCGCGTGCAATATACGAGTGATTAAATAAAAGTTTTCTAAATTTATTATCTTGTAACTTTACTACTTTGTTGTACAATATAGAGCTCTTTCATATTACATTACAGTTCTTATGTTGGTGTGCTGAGCCGACCTGCTGGGATATGAACTATTTTTGCCTTGTCTTTTTTCCCTCGTTTTCTTTTGCTCAGACGCATTAACATGACAGCTACTAACCATGTGAAAAGGCCCTCTTTTAAACTGATTTTTTTCTCTTCTTTTATACAGTAATGAAGTGTCTCTTGGAGGCTCACGACTCAAACCGGGCACGCTTTGACAGGGAATGCCTGGCACACTTGACGAACAGAATGAAGATGTGGGAAGTAGCTGCTAGGGTACGAACTGATGAAACTTCCGCTGAATATGCACTCACCAAACTAAGAGGATAGGCTGCATGGCTGATCTTACACTGCTTTCTCGACTTACTCAAAAATTTCATTTTATAATCCCAATTTGTTCGATGTTTGGCTAAAACATGTCCATTTTTTATCTCTCTCTCTTTTGATTCATTTTTGAAAGGACCAATATACTGGAAAGAGATTTGTAAGGTGTACTTTTTAAAAAAATGCTTAAGAATTCCTGGATCAATATCAGTATCTGGGCAACTGCCCACCTACCTCTCCCCTAACCCAACATTAACCCTAACTTGTTATCAATTGACTGTTGTTGAGTTAGGGGAGGGGTAGGTAGGCAGTTGCTTAGATACTGATATTGATCCGAATTCCTTCCTTGGTTACTTAGAGAACTTCCTTGTGTTTGCAATCATCCTGTTACAGAGGTTTTCATTTGTGAATCGCTCCTCTGATTACTCGTCGCTATTACCAGTATTAATTTGGACAAATTTTGTTTTATAGGTTGCCCCGCCTGAAACCATCGGTGATCTTGCTGTTGCTATCTCCGCTTCGCCATCCAAGAACTACTTCTTCGTCATTTTTGCAACTTGCTTAGCTCTTATTTTTGTTGGCGGACTTGTGTTCGGTCGACTTTCCAAGAGAATCAAAAGAGAGGTCAAGGATCGCTGAAGGAGGAACCACATGAACCTATATCACTAACAAACGCCATGCCACTCCAACAAGAGTATTGTTTTCTCATGAAGGACTCCTGGACATCAGATTCCTGTACAAAACAGTAGCGTTCACTCCGTTAAGAATAGTTAGGTCATTGATGGAATCTACCAATCAAAACTGTCTCAAAATAATTGATTGAACTATTTTATCTCTTACACTTTTTCACGCGAAAAACCTTTCACAGTCACGGCCAATTTTTTTTTTTTTTTTTTTTTGCGGAAAATTTCCATTGGTTACACAACCTGTATAGGATAAAATGTGTTCTTTTAATACATTTGATTTATTTTGTACAGTATCTTCTTTATACCAGCCATTAAATTTCATTTTTCACTAAAAGTAAGAGAAAGAAGCGCAAATGTTAGTAGATTAACCCAGGTGCAATTCCAAGCGGTGATGTTGGCGGGGAGTGCGTCTTTAGGTGGAATGAAAGCTTACTAAATCAATAATGTAATTTTTGTTGGTTTTACATGGACTCTTTTTGTATCAGGAAGCATGTAATAAGGAACGCATAATGTAGAATTTCATTTCAGTTGTTAAGGACTCTTTTCTCAGTGCGAACGAGCCCTACGTTGGTGTCTTGCTGCGTGTATCGGTGAACCTTCAGATGAAAGAAGATAGTGTTGTTGTAATGAAAGAAAAGGGCTTTGCTGAAGTCTCCTAGAACTGGATCAATGGACGGTTTTCTGTTGTAGAAGGGCCGGTACAAGTCCACTGGAAATAACACTTTATTATTTTTTTCTGTTGTTCCTTTCTTACATTTCTGTCGCGGTGATTTCTATAGTCCATGAAAAAGCTAGCAATTACTTAACATAATGATGAACCTTAGCAATAATATGAGTGAATTCATCATTGAATTAAACCAAGAAGTAAATGTGTGTTCGAAAGGTCTGTCTTAAACTGCAGTAGTAGTAGTGCTATTGAAATCTTTTGTTGCTCTCATAGTCTTAAAAACAGAAGTTAATTAAAACTCCGCGGAGGAGACCTAATTTTATGTGTTTGGCGAAATGCATAAATACTGAATATTTATGTTTACGTTGAGGGAAGGGGAGAATCGCTACAAAGATTAAGATACAGATAACTGAGTTCTGTTCTAAACTCGTGTAATCAATTTTCTCGGACAGTCACTTATCGCCTCTGGTCCAAGTAGTTTGTTGTCGTGTTTATGTAAGTAGTAAAGAATTTATTTCATAAAACTGGACTTAAGAAAAAAAATGTCTGTCTACAAGTGAATTTAATTGTTTGTCAAAGTCAATCTAGAACACTGAGAGCTTTCCCAATACCTCTATCGAAAGATCACCACCGGAGACCACTGAGTTGACAGGTGTGTCAACCCTGGTCTATTATGGGGCATTTGTTCCGCCCTGAAGTGCTGTCAGACGGCACTTGATATATTTGGGATTTAATAAACAATATTCTATGCGATCCATTTGTAGTTAGTGTGTGAAAAATAAAACTCTACTCAGTGGTGTAGTAAATTGTGACGGGTTATTCAAACTTTGCGAGAAACCTGTAAGAAGAAGTGCATTAATACAAAAATGCATTTCCAAACAGTTTCAAGAATTGTGTCGATCGCCAGATTACTTCTGAAATATGAATCTTCGCAGCAGCCACAACGGCAAGATGATGGAGATCAAAAGGGAAATACAATGTAAAGTAATGCAAATAAATTTATTTAATGTTTCTGAATTTTTTCTGAATACAAATGGAAGTACAAGAGTACTACCCAAACGCGGATTATAACAAAAGCTAACCATATATCAAGGAATTGAACCAAACGGCACAGAAGTTTTCGTAAAAATTGAATTAACTATACTCTTTTAGGAGCCTAGACTAAACTAACTGAGCACTTCTACTCCATGTAAAGTTGTCCACAGTTTAACCTCCCATCCTTCAACCCGTTTCACCCCTCCCCCCCTCCCCCCCTCCCCGTCGCGCAAACCTCTACCTGCACAGTATAATTTTTTACGCGTCTACGAAACCCTTTCACTCTTAACATAGTTTCATTAGACATCACAAGCTTACAAAATTTATTGTCTATCAATCTTTGAGTTCACTGTAACTGTACAAATTCTACTGTTCATATTGTATTCGACTAAAGTGAAATGAAACTTAAAGCATTTAAGTTCTATGTACTTAACATGACAAGATTTTGATTTTGCTTACTTTCTAAGTGATGGATAAATCGCTCTCAATTTTGGTTTTTCATTTTGAATGATTCTCTTCTGCTTTACATGCAACTATCAATTTTTCCATCATTTTAGTGTCGATGAACTTTGCTCATGACGCATAACAGAAATGCGAGCGATGCTAAAAAATAAGTTTACAAACTATAGGCATACGCCTGAAAAAAATCATTTTTTCTCCTTACATTTCATATACATTTCTCTCCCAAATACTAATACATACTCTAGTGAGAAGCACTTCCCCAAATATTTTACACTTGCATTGCATGCGGTGTAGAGTAGTTAACTTGACTTCCTACTTAAGAAGCGGTTCATCCTCGCATGAACGACGTAATTCGAACGTGTTGGAGGCGTGGCCACTGGCATGTCTCCTGATTTATTTATACATAGTCATGTCCAAGTTCTGGTACATACACAGATATCCATCTCCTAGTAGACGACGCACTTTTTCAGGCATCTCGCCTCTCTCCTTTGCTGCAATTATTTCTTCGGGGGTTTTGGAGAGCCATTCCAGCGCTTCAGGACAAGGCGTCACAGCAGGGATATTGTAACCATTTCTTTCTCCTGAAAAGCAAGGCAACAAAAAAACGGAGTAAATGAGTTAGGACGTTATAAGCGCTACTAGTATCCATAAAGCTATTTGCACGTAATTTTTTTATCTACAACACCAACTCAAGAGCTTTTTCTTGGAAAAAATCTTCAAATCCTGTGACAAGTAAACCCAAAGCTATTTTAATTTTGAAGAGAACTCAACCGACCCGATCATCTTTAAGCCCTCATGATAGGATGCTATGCTTCCAAAAACGTAAAATATCCAAATCGAATATCCTAAATATATTATTTACCGAGATTGAAAACCTTTCAGTAAAATAGAAACGAGGATAGTTAAAGAAAGACCGGCGGGAACTTGAAGGATTCAGATTACATATGAATGATCGAAATAATAGGATTTTGATTTTGAATTTTGTACCCTGGCGCCTTACACCTCGATTACGATGTAACTATTAAACAACCGTGAAAACGAAAATAATAATTAAAAAGGAAAGTAATTGGGAGATGAGAACAACTGAAAGAGGAATTTCAGCCGAACGATACTGATAAGCACAATAAGCATAACTTCTCATAATTTCTGTCAGGTCGTGACCTGTCTTGAATTTCTGGTGATTTTTATGAACTTTCCCTGCCTTCATAAACAAACAAAACGCACACAAAAAGTGAAGGGGTGACCAACATAGCCAGTCACGAGTTCTGACTCACCTTTCCTGTCCGCCATACTGTCAAAGAAGCACCAGGGGGCGTTTTTATCCTTCCCACACTTAACAAATGCCACGTAATGACTCGTCTCGATACAGACAACGGCAAAGAGATCCATTTTCTGCTTGTCGACTGTTATCTGTCTTTCCCCTGTTTTCTTTTGGTCACTGTAGTAACCGTACACTCGAGGTAGAAGTATCGGCTTTGGGTTATGATCCTGACGGTTTCGATGACCGTGAACTTTCTCATGGCATCCTTTACAGTAGCTCGCTATTCCGGGTCCGTCTTTCAGGAGACCTTTTTGATAGCACTTCTTGCACTCATATTGAGCAACGTCAGAGCCGCACATGGTACATTCGCGGGGAACTGGGAACATAACGATCTTCGTTAACAACAAGCTCTTTTCATGACGAAGTCACATAATGAAGTCATGTGACGTTGTAAATCACAGAACTGAAGTCAACGCGCAATTGGAGACAAGAATGGGATGAACGCGATTTAGTTGAAAGGATTTCCTATTTGGATACTGAATTTCTGGAAAGTTCTAAAATCAAACAGTGTTAAGGTTATCTATGCCGGAGGGAAAAAAATTGCAATCTATTTGATTTTATCCTTATGATTCTTAGTGATTTGCCTATTTTGGCCCTGGAAATTGATTATCAGCTTTCCATGTTCGCCTGCATTAGTGAGAAAAGTAAAACTAAGATAACAACCTGCATAACAAATTATTGATGCTCGGGCGTTTTCCCAGCCAAATTCCTCAATTTAACAGGCACAAAAATTATTTCATATTGTAACACAAAGCATTCTTTTCCCCCTTTTTCTTTTTTGTAGCGACCCTTGCACATGATGTTAGGTCGTCAAATGGTGACTCAGACAAAATGGAGGTAAGATCCCTGTTGCACGCACCATTTTCGACGATGTGAGTGACGTCAAGTTCCAGATTGGGTAGAATCATGTCGTACATTTTGTATCTGTTACCAAACCGAGGCATCTGAAGAATCAAACACGATGGTACCTGTAAAAACAAACAACCGAGTCATACCAATGTCCAAGAAGGTTGATTCATGTGAGGATTACAATGGCGAAATTTGGAATGAAATGCGAAAGGCAAAAAAGTGACGTAGTTCCGCTTTTATTTAATCCCATCCCTTTCAGATCTAAATATCAATTCTCTGCACTGTCTTCCATACATTTCTAGTAAACGTAGCGTTGAGAATTAGGTGTTCAATTACACAATATCGCTTTGTTGACATTTTCCAAGCACATCATCTCTGTGCTTGAAGCACCTTCGTGCTTGAAATGTATTTTATATTGCGCGGAAAAATAGTGCTCTGATTACGTCTGGGAATGAAGCTGTTCACAATATCACCTAAGACTTACAAAGGTTACTAGCAAAATGCAGCGTGTTAATTAGAAATTGCTGTGTCGTTAAGAAAATACTTGCATCAACACACGTCCCACTTACCTCAGATAGTATGAGATCCGCTGAGATAAAAGACTGCTCCAACATAGTTTGAACCTGAGCAATTTTCACCGACTCATCCTTATCAGTTATGATCTGGTACAAGAACGCTCCTTCACCTTTCTTCTCTTGCACATCTCGGGGCCTGTGAAATCCATACAGCAAGGTTACATTTGCGCTTGAGCAAAACCCCAATTATACACGATACGAAGTGCACAAAACGTATTTAAAAATAACTTACTTCAAGTGAAGAAATGGGTCCGCTTTTAATACTTGTTGCAGGAGAGAGTTTAAAAATTCTTCTGGGTCTGAAAAATTACAACAACAACATCAAAAATAGTTTGGGTAAAGTTTGCGCTCAGCTGTTGGGTGGAACCTTGATCAAGGATAATCTAACAACAAAGAAAGTGGATCTTCGTTGACTTGTTGTTCTAAGTTTGACTAGCTCACATCTTGCTTTGAAGGTTCAATCGGCCCACAAAAGATGACCTATTCGGAGACATTTCGGTAACAACTGCTAACGAATAGAATGGGTCATTTAACAAATGAAAATAGACAGGGAGGGCAGGAGGAAACCAGCACATTACTATAAACTGAGAGCATACCAGGCTGTGAAAAATCATACCTTTTTCCGGCATTAGAGAAAGGAGACACACATGTAGCCTAATTGTCTCCATGAGCTATGCCCTATAATCAGTGGCGAATCATTGAGTAATTTTGAAACTGCTGATGTAAGAAAAAGGGAATAGACATTCAAGAGTTCACAAAAACAGTCTGGTTTGTAAATTTAATACACTGTTCTACTAGGTAGTTTTTATGTGCAATTTCAAGGTTTTCAAATCACCTTTTTCTTCATTTATTAGGCCTGCTGTGGAACTGAGCTGGTCAAGAAGTTGTCTCAGTGTAAGAAGGCGATCTGCACGAACAAAACCTTTCCTGCAATAACATAATATTCAACATTGAGATATTTATCCTCAAGAATCTGAAATGACACTCAAATGAAATCTGTACCAAAAATGCAACATAAATGTGAAAGATACCAACACTATGTTGCCGGTAAAACGAACCTGCATTATGGTAAGTTCTATAAGTAACTGCTATAATTGCATGTGCAAAAAATTTAAATTGACAACCAGTGTCAGCCAGACAATCAAACAGTTCCTGGGTGGCTGCTCAACGTAGGTTCCACCCTATTTGCTAAAAGGATCCAGTGTAACAGTGTGTAACATGTAATTTATTCCTCTCTTCCCAATAAACTTCCCCATGTATTAACTGTTGATTAAATTATAATGCCATTACGTACACTCTGAGAGGATTGACAATCCAGTTTCTCAGCACACTCTGCACTTTATCATATTCCTCCAAATCATCATCTTTTTTGTAACGATGCAGCAAAGTGTCAAACACACTTGTGAACGCAAACATACTGAAAAGTGTGGCATCAAGGTAGCACGAGTTATGGTGACCTTGGAGGCCACGCATCTGCCCACAGTGATTATCCTCAAGAGTTTCGGGAGGCA